CTTGACCCGGCAGCTATTCCTGATGAGATTTTAGCTTATAGTTTTCATGAAGTCCAGGCAGGCAGGGTTTTCCAAGCTGTGAACGGCCTTAAGTCCAGGCCACGCAGTCTGGATGTTTTGAACCCTCCAGCCTCTTAGGCTCCAAGAGCAAAGGCAGTTCAAGGGAGAGAGCCTACTGAAACCTAAAGCTGGAGTTTCAAGCGCCAAAAAGAAGCGTTTTGCTGCCAGGGACTGCTGCAAACTGCCTTTGTTCTCGTGTTCAAGTTGCAAATTCCCCGCTTTGAAGCTTCGAGGACCAAGCCAGGTTTAGGTTTAGATGTCCAGGCGAAGCCATGTCAGGGAGGAAAAGGAAGACGGAGGACCAAGCTTCCTCTTCCTCCTGTCGCGAGATAAAGCCAGAATCTCCACTTGCGGTGGCCCTTTTAAGGCTGTGGTGTTTGGGAGACCTGAGCGCCAAGGTCGTCCAGGAGCTGTCCCAGGCAGCTGTCAAGTCAGGCTGCTCCCAGGCCGACCTTGTGGGACTTGCCAGCTTGGGTTCGCATGGTGTTAACCCGAACCACACGCACCACCAGCTGCTTTCCAGGGTCTTCAAGGACATGGCTGCTCCAGACCCAACGGTCGTGCAGACCAAGGCATGGGGGAAAAGCGCCACAGGCCAAAAAATCCAGGTAGACTGCAAGCTTCCAGTCATGCTTCCGCACAACTGGATGCTAAGCCTGGATGGCATGGACGATGACATCCTGGGTATCCAGGACATTGCCAAGTTTTGGGACAGCCAAAAAGGCGCTAACTCCAGGGTGTCGCAAAGCCAGGACTACTTTGACCAAGTTTTCCAGGACACCCAAGCCTTGGTCCCTTTCGCTTTGCACGGCGACGCAGCTCCCCACTCCAAGGTGGACAGTCTGCTTGTGATCTCCATGAGAGCGATAACGTCACGACGTTCGATTGACGCTTGGCTTGTCTAGTATTCTTTCGGCAGTACGACCGCAAAATCACCATTTAGGTCTTGGTGTCTCTAATTTTTGCTTTCGCAGTCCAGGCAAGCAGCCAATTGTTGCTGGCCTGCATTCCCAAGTCGTGCATCACGCCCAAGCTCATGGAAGATCTTTGGACCAAGCTCTGCGAGTCCCTCCAAGCCATGGCCTCAGGAAGGTGCCCAACGACCTCCAGGCGGTTCAGGCCAGGAGTGATCTACTGCATCACAGGGGACATGGAGTTCTTCTACCAGGAATTCAAGTTCCCCAGGCCGAACCAAGCCAACCCTTGCCTTTGGTGCGCTTGCACCCAAGAGGGCGAGAACTGCTGGAACGACTTTCGCCAGGAAGCAGGCTGGAGAAGGACAACACTCAGGCCAAGGCAGCTGGAAGCCAGGCTGGAGCACCCGCTTTTCCAGGTCCAAGGCGTCAATGCTCAGGCTTTGAAGCTTGACGTCCTCCACGTCCTGGACCTCGGTGTGTCCTGCCATGTGGTGGGGAATCTGCTTTGGGAGATCATCGAAGACTCCAAGCCAGGTTCCAGGGACACCAACATGAGTTGCCTGAATGCCGAAATCCAGGAAATCTACCAGGAGCTAGGCATTCCTTCAGGCACCAGGTTGCCGAACCTGAAATGGAAGTCTGACATTGCCAGCAGTGCCAATGAGTACCCTTGCCTCAAGCACCAGAAGGGCAGGCGAATCAGGCATTTCATGCCTGTTGCTGTGGAGCTCGCCAGGAGGTACAGTGTCTAAGCTGCATTATATCTATAAATGTGAACACGACCTTATTCTTGTTTAAAGTTCTACAGCAATTTCAGGCTCCCAAGATGATCGCCGAAGCCTGCACCGACTTCGTGTCCTTGAGTCGCTGCGGGACATCTACGACTTGCTGGACAGGCAAGACTTCAAGTGGCCCCAGGACGTCAGGCGAAAATTCGCCGACCAAGTCCAGTGCTTGACCAAGCACTACGGCCATCTTGCCAAGCTGGCTTTTGATGCCCAGCAGTGTCGATATAGCCAAGTTTCCAAGTTTCACATGACGGCACACTTGCCAGAAGTTTCGCAGCACTTGGCCCCCAGGTTTTTTTGGACGTATGGTTCCGAATCCTTTATGGGCTTGATGTCTCACATCGCCAATGCTTGCCTTTCAGGCACTGCAGCTCACAAGGTGCCGGAAACCATCCTGTTCAAGTACAGGACGTTTTGGCATCTGCTTTTAAAGGGCTTGCTAGTGCTGGATGAGCCAAGCTGACCCAAGCAGCCAAGCTGCAAGCGGTCCAGGTCCACGCCAACTGCAAGCGGCCCATGAGCCATAAGCTGCTCAAACGGTCCAGGTCCAGGCCGACTGCAAACGGCCCATGGAAAACAAGTCGCTTGCGCCATCTGCTAAGGGCCGGACGGCCCTATACGTACATTCCCAAGTGGTATAATCCGGACGCTTAAAAATGTGTCGCCGTCTATAGCTGCAGTTTATAGGCTCTTCAGATGGCAAAAGTAGGAAGCCAGAAGAAGCCGGCCGCACGGCAGGCCAGATACTTGCCTGTGAGCTTGTCGAGCTTAAGTCTGTTTTTTGAAGTTTTGGCTGTGCCTCGACAGGCCCCGGTCTCGAAGAAGCCAGCTGCCAAGCTCGCAGACAAGGAGGCCGTCGTCAAGGTCAAGGTCGTCAAGAAAAGACCTGCGACTTCCACGACCTCCAGTGGCCAAGCTCCCAAGAGCCAAACCGCCACCTTGGAGACTCCTGCAGAGACGACAGCCAAGAGGCCAGCCGCCACCTTGGAGACTTCTGCAAAGGCGACAGTCAAGAGGCCAGCCGCCACCTTGGAGACTTCGGCAGAGACGACAGTCAAGAGGCCAGACGCCACCTTGGAGACTCCGGCAGAGACGACAGCCAAGAGGCCTGCAGCCGCCACCTGCTTTGCTCTCGAGGCGGGATTCTTTCAGTGCGATATATAGATTTTGTATATATATATATATATATATAGATAGATAGATGTGAACCCCTATACCCTCATAACCAGCTTTTAAACCCTTACGCCGAAACAGATCTGCAGGAAGAAGACAACTCGGATGGAGGTCTGGAAGCCGTTTGGGAAGCTTGCCAAGCTGCCGAGACCATGGCCAAGGGGCCAAACCAGAGCCCGGACAACGTGAGCCTGAGCCAGGAAACGATGGTCTTGGGCATGTATGACCCTCCGATCACTCAGAGTGACTTTGAGCAGGCCATGAAGGAGTGGCCAGAGGAGCCTGACTTTTACCACGACCCCTCACAGGAAGCTGAAGCGGAAGCTCCGCCGGGTCACCTTCTCGTTTGGGATTTTTTGTCCCCGATTCAAAAAATGATCATCAAGCAAAACCCGAGAGTCAGGGACGGCTTGCAGCCATGCGGGCTGCCAGTGTCCAATACCAAGTCCAAGCCCAAGTAGCCCGGAGCTTTTTTTTGAAAGGTAAGCTCCAAGCCTCCACGGCCAAGTTTTGAGGAAGAGCTCAAGAGAATCTTCACCCAAGATTCCCTGCCGCAGCTGTGGAAAAGAAGTGTTAGGCTGGAATGCCTGAGTCCAATTCCACGTCCAAGTCCAAGTAGCCAGGAACCGTTTTTGAAAGTTAGGCTCCGAGGCCTTTACAAGGCCAAGTTTCGAAGGAGAGCTCAAAAGAAGCTTCACCCAAGATTCCCTGCCGCTGCTGTGAAAAAGAAGTGTTAGGCTGGAAGCCTTCTGGGAAAGGGTGGGGAAGAGAAAGTGAGAGATAGAGAAAGAGAAAAAAGAAAGAGATAGATATATAGAAATAAAAATACAGGTAGAGATGGAGAGATAGAGAGACAGGGAGATATAAGAGATAGAGAGATAGAGCGACCGAGCGGTAGAGCGGTAGATCGAGCGATAGAGCGGTAGAGCGATAGAGAGATATACAGCGATAGAGAGATAAAGAAGTAAAGATGTAAAGGTAGAGATATACAGGCAGAGATACGGATAAAGGTACAGGTTGAGGTCGAGGTAGAGGTATTATATATAGTGGTGGAGGCAGAGATAGCGCTGAAATCTATTGATGTCAGAAGTGTTTCTCGTTTGATTTGAGATAACATTTCTATTGATTTTATGGAAAATTTCTATTGATTTTATGGAAAATTTCTATTGATTTTATGGAAAATTTCTATTGATTTTATGGAGATTTTCTATTGATTTTGATGTGGAGGTTTCTATTGATTTTTATGTCGCAGTTCTATTGATTTTGAGGATTTAAATTTCTATTGAAAAAGATCGTTTTCTATTGAATTTGATCGACACAATCAAAACGCTGAGAATTTTCAATCCCGCTTGATTTTTTTCAATCGGCGGTCCTCTGGGTAAGTATGCCTAGTTTAGGTCTTCAGGGCCGGGGTTTTAGGGTTTGGGTGGGGGCTTCAGGTGTTTGGTTTAATTAAGTATTTGAGGTCTTCAGGGCCAGGGTTTTAGGGTTTTAGGGTTGGGTTTCAGTTCAGGGAGGGGGTCGAGGGTTTGGGTTTTAGGCTTAAGTATGCCTAGTTTAGGTCTTCAGGGCCGGGGTTTTAGGGTTTGGGTGGGGGCTTCAGGTGTTTGGTTTTATTCAGTATTTGAGGTCTTCAGGGCCAGGGTTTTAGGGTTTGGGTGGGGGTTTAGGTCGTGGCTGCCTTAAGATTGACCATCAGCAAATAGCACAGCCCCGCCACCAAAAAATCACCCCAGCCAAAAAAAAACGCATTAATTAGAACAAGCCAAATTTTTTGTCAGATTCGGAATTAGCCCCGGGGCCGGCGCATTAAAGGAGCCTATATTCCTAAACCGACCCCCACATTAAGGTATATAATTTATAACTAGTATATAGTTAGGTTACACATAGCATAAGATTGGTACATACATAGTTTGGCACAAAAGTAACGACATTCGGACTACTTTAATTTAAGGCTTAAAAATGCACTATGAATGCATGGACCCTTAAAGCTACGATGCCTCGTGTCTTGGTGTCTAATATTTACTTGCTAAAACTAGGGCACAACGTGCTGAACAGTAAGGAATGGACAGTGGCAGCAGGCCCTGTCCTTGTTGAACACGATGCCAGAAGCCCGCGCACTCACCGACGTCATCAGCGTGCCTTGTGCTTCGCATTTCAGGGTGCAGAATTCGGTTGAGGCTTTAGGATTTAGGGTCTGAGGTAGGCCGATAGGCCAGAATGGCCGAAAAAGAAACCCGACGGTAATTCCCAATATAAGAACCCTAATTACATTCTACTATATAGCTACTTATTATCGGAACGCTTACGACAACCCTAGACCCTAGACCTTTAAAGGAATCCTTGCAAGAGCCTATATAAGCCCATGTAAAAGCCTAGACCCTAAACCTTTAATTTCAAGGAATCCCTGCAAGAGCCTATATAAGCCCATGTAAAAGCCTAGACCCTAAACCTTTAATTTAAAGGAATCCTTGCAAGAGCCTATATAAGCCCATGTAAAAGCCTAGGCCCTAAACCTTTAATTTAAAAGAATCCCTGCAAGAACCTATATAAGCCCATGTAAAAGCCTAGACCCTAAACCTTTAATTTAAAGGAATCCCTGCAAGAACCTATATAAGCCCAGGTAAAAGCCTAGACCCCCTAAACCTTTAATTTAAAGGAATCCCTGCAAGAGCCTATATAAGCCCAGGTAAAAGCCTAGACCCTAAACCTTTAATTTAAAGGAATCCCTGCAAGAGCCTATATAAGCCCATGTAAAAGCCTAGACCCTAAACCTTTAATTTAAAGGAATCCTTGCCTAAACCCTAAACCCTAAGGAATCCTTGCAAGAGCCTTCTTTGGCCTATGTAGCTACTTCGGGCCCTTTTGGGAGAGGTTTCGGGCCCTGGCTCCCAAGCCCTTCGAGTCGATGCACCCTAGGTAGTAGAGTAGGTAGCCTTTAAGGGCTCCTTTTAAAGAGGTCTATAAGGGCTACTATAAGGGCTAGAGGTCTAGAGAATCTACTATAATCAGGGCTATTATAAGGATTCTACTGTAGGGGCCTTAGTAACCTAGTAGTAGAGTAGGTAACCTTAGATCCCCTATACCCAACCTTTAAAGCTTCTTCGGTTGTTATAGTTTAGTGGGAACCGGAAAGTTTAACCTTTTACTTCTGTGGCTTATTGGGGGAGTAAGTAACATGTTCTTTTTTTGGGTAGTATAGTCCCTATATATATATATATATATATATATAGAACCCAAGAAGGTTAAGCTTTAATTCCCCATGATACCCTTCCAGTCGCGTCACAGGTAAATGCCGCCATCAGTGCTTGCGCCAGCAGTGGTAAGTGGCAGGTTGCCCTTCTTCTGCTGGCGAGCCTTCAGGAGGTGCCTTTTTTTAGGGAGGTTTTGAGGCTTTATCTAGAACCCCCCCCCCGAAAGTGGGTATAATGGCCCGACATCTATAAGCGGCGGCGACCCTGAACCGCACATCCTCCAAAACCCGGAACCCTAAGGCGACCTTATACATCCAGTTTTTTGGGGTTCCTGATCCTGATCTCTTGTAAGTCCTATGCAAGGTTATTAGGTTAGGTGGGGTTGAGGTAAACCCTAAGCCCTAGACCCTAAACCCCAGGCCCTAAACCCTAAGCTGTAAACCCCAAGCTCTCAACCCTAAGCCCTGGACCCATATGGGAGTTTCCGAAAATTGGGGACCGTAATTATAGTACCCCAAATAGTAGGATCCTTATTATAAAGAGAAGAGCCCAAAATAAGGTACCTCCAATTTTCGGAAATTCCCATCTTCTGGCAAGGCCGCTTTCGGTTCCCCGACAGTCGTCAGCTTGAGTGCAGCCATCAGCGCCTGTGAGAAGGGCGGCCGCTGGCAGATGGCACCCTTTTCGAACTGCAAGGGTATACCTTAACCCTGAAGAACCTACCTTTTTAGGGTTCTCTATTATGATTTCCTTGTATAAGTCCTTAAAAAGGTAGGTTCTGCAGGGTTAAGGTAGGGTTTAGGGTTTAGGATTTCGGGTGCAGGGTTCAGGGGGGCGTGTGGTGCCGTGTGAATCCAGAGGATTGGAGTTCGATTTGTTGAGCTGAGTAGTTTGTTGTCTTTCTCAGAATTTGAGGCGGCTTTAGCGGGCTTAACAAAAGATGCAAAAACTAGTCTGTCTGAATGGTAGGATGCGTTTTGCGGGGCGGGGGTCCGAAATTTCGATCCTTCCGTGATGAGATGCAGGGGTTTGCCCATCAAACCCAAGGCTTTGAAACACATAGAAACCTTCGCAGGCTCCTCACATAAGCCATCCTCACGGCTGTCTTTGCGCAAAAGCTGGCTTCTAGAGTATCCTACCTGAATGCTTCTTTTTGGGACCTGTTTAAACAGAACCATTGTGAAGCAAAGTTTACATGTGTTCCCCCCTCGTTACTTCAAAGTCAAGAACAGGCCATGTTCTACCCTTCTAAACTTTAAACTCCTGAGAAGACTGACAATCGATTTTGAAACAGGGAACTGAACCCCTCCGTACACCATTCAGGACCCCCCCCGAACCACCCACTACGAGGGCCCAAGTACCCTCTATTGAATCAAGAGCTGTATGGGGGAGTGCGTGCTCGCTGCTGGCTATACTGCAGCCCTAGCTTTGGCTCCTCCTTTCTCAAAGGGCCCCAAGCACCTGTATGGGGAATACCATAATCATAATTCCACAAAAGAAACCTTATTTTCTACAGAAAAGGTACTTACAGGAACCCTGAAAGGAATCCCTTATTGGCTGTAAACTCAACTTTTTAAATTTTGGGGCTCTTATAAGGTAGTCGATTCTGAAAGTCTCAACTGTTAATATACCGGGTTTTTGGCCAGTGAGACCCTAAACCCTAAAGCCCTACTGGAACACCTAAGGAACCCTAAGGGCCGCGTTGGCTTTCTTTTGAGGCTCTCGAGCTCTTTTCCAGCATGCAGAAGCAGGAGTCTTGGCTTGAGCAGCTCAAGTCTGGCTTTTCTGACTGAGGAGTATCTTGTGGTGGGTTTCTGGTGTGAGACCCGAAACCAACCCTAAGCCCTAAACTATAAACCGAAACCCTGAACCCGAGAAGCTCTGAGATAAACCCTCATATCATGGATCCTACTAGTTCGGTATCATCTACGGGCCTCCACATCTTCTGAACCTCTGCAGCGTACAGCTGATGCTCAGGACATCGAGTGCTTGGGTTTAGGATAATAGCCTTGTAGGTTTGCATGTGGGAGAGTAGGTTTGAGGGTTTCTGCTTGGTCTTTGCAACATGGCGTTGAGGAGTTCCCGGGGTTGAGAGGCTGCTTGACCACTTGTTTCTGAAGTGCCTAAGGAAGTTCGGCCAAATGAAATCAGCTTCAACTCAGCCATCAGCGCCTGCGAAAAGGATGGGCAGTGGCAGTATGCTCTGCTCATTTTCTCAGAAATGCCGGCGGCAGGTGTCGCACCCAGCGAGGTCAGCTTCAACGCAAGTATCAGTGCTTGCGAGAAGGGGTGGCGCTGGGAGATGGCCTTGTATGTTCTTTCGCAGATGCCAACTTTTGGAATCGAACCCAACGAAATCAGTTTTAGTGCGGGCATCAGTGCCTGCGAAAAGAGCGGCCACTGGCAGATGGCCCTATTTCTACTGTCGACGATGAGATCCCTGAGAGTTGGGCCAAGCCGAGTCAGTTTTAGTGCAGGCATCAGTGCATGCGAGGAAGGAGGTCAGTGGAGAATGGCTCTTCATGCGCCTGGACATTCAACTAATTTTCCTCTTTGCCGACAGTAGCTGTAACTGAGAAAGACCAACGGTCAACGCAACAAGGGCCAGGTTGGATTTCCACCTAACTACCAGTCACTACCGCTGCTGCTGCGAAGCTGCTGCTGCTCGTGCTCCCGCTGCTAATTCCTGCCCGTCCCCCTGACCCTCCTCCTACTCCTGCTCCTGCAAGTCTCCCGTTGTGGTAGCAGAAATAGTACGACGACGACATGCCCCCCCCCCCCCCCCCACCCCACCGCCGGTGACGAAGGTGCTGTCACAGTTGCATTCCGCCAGCGCAATTCCCGACGAAGTGAGCGTCGGCGCAGGGATCAGCGGCTGTGAGAAGGGCTCCCAGTGGCAGATGGCAGCGAGCTTTGGCGTCACTTCAGCACAGTTTATAGAGAGTTTCACGATGGATATGCCTACGCCCGCCTTCTTCTTGTAGGCGGGACGGAAACAGTAGTCGGACCTGGAAATTCGATCCGCAGCGCCCTAATCCTTGCAAGCCTAAACCTTAAAACTGAAGCTCCAACCCTTGCAACCCTGAGCCCTGACCCGGCAATCGCAAACCCAGAGCCCTGAAACACTAGTACATGGACCCCCAAAAATATGTAGAGTAACAGCCTTTTGTAGGTCTAGGGGCATTACTCTGCTTACTTTGGGGGGTGTAGGTAGGGCTTAGGGTTTAGGGTTTTCGGACTTCCCCCCGAAACTCATGTCGGGGTTTCTGAAAATGTGGGGTACCCTGTTTTGGGGTCCTTATAATGAGGATCCTACTGTTTAGGGAACTATAATTCTATTAGGGTCCCCCATTTTCGGAGGGGGTCCTGATTATAAGGATCCTAGCATATAGGGTACTATATGAGGGTCCCCTTTTTTCGAAATCTCCCATATGGGTCCCTTATAATAAGGATCCTAGCAATTAGGGAATGTAGGGTACTATAAATTAGGGTCCCCTATTTTCGGAAGCTCCCATGTGAGGAAGCTGCTGTTTGATATGCCGGCAACGAGGCTCTGGCCGAATGAGGTCTGCTTTAGTGCTGCTATCGGCGCCTGTGACAGGGCTGTCGCAGAAGTCGCATGAGCGCGGCCCTGTCAAACCCAAAGGGTCCTAGGTACTGTTATGGGCCGAAATATGGGGGGGGGATACTTCACTAAATCTTAGCACTATTTCCCAATATAAAAAAACTTACTTTCTACTATATAGTATACTTCGGACCCCTTGGGAAAGAGGGCTTAAGTTCAAGATGTAGCTGGGAGCCGCAAGCCCTTGTAAACCCCTCAAAATCTTTTACTACTAATACTAAGCTAGAGCCCAGTGTGGTCAGGATCCGGCCTTCCAAAAACCCTCAGCGTTGTTAATCTTGCTGCCCGAGAAAGGAGCAAGTTGTCTGAAGCCTTCAGGTGGAGGCGTGCAGGGTGTGACCCTTTGCGCATCCTCCGTGAAAAGCTGCGGGAGAACTTGAGGAGTCGGGTTCAGGGTCTTCCTTAACCCGGAATAACCTACCTTTTTAAGCACCTATATAAGGAAATCGCATAATAAGGAATCCAGAAAAGGAAGGTTATTCAGGGTAAAGGTTAGGTTTGGAAGTTGCTGTTTCGGATTTGGGGTTCGGGACTTTTCGAACTGTGTTTAGTTGGGGGTTTGAGCAGACAGAGGGAGCTCTCAAGCAGTGTTTTGCATCACAATACATAGGAGCCGCAATGATTGGTTTTGGGATATGCTATGTTGAGTCATGGCTTTCTCAGAGACTGTTATACCTTATAAAGAAACTAAAGCTTCCAGATATTCCGACTTCTGATGAACTGCGGTTTCGGGGCTGTGCTGTTCATGTGTGGTTCGGGCGTTGTCTCGTAACATAGGGGCGTTTGTAGTTGCAAGCAGGTTCCTTGTAGCTGTGCCAGCATGTGCCCCGAAGGCCGTATTTTGCTTACTAGCAAGGTCCGTATATTATAATGCACTAGAGCTTTGGTACCGCTGCCAAGGTCAACGGTACTGGGGTAGTTAGGCCAGAGCAGCCGCTAGCAAGCTTTGTGCAATCTCCCATTCATCATTTCGCAAGCCCAAACCTTAACAACTACACCTCAACTCAGTAACCCAACCTTAAACCCCAAGCCCTAAAACCCTAAACCCTAGTTCGATGACCCAACCCTAAGCCCTAAAACCCTCAGTCAATAACCCAACCCTAAACCCTAAGCCCTATAGGCTCCTCCCCCCAAACCCTAAACTCCTAAACCGAAGCTACTATGCCGTACAGCCATCATACACCCTAAGCTCCAAACTCCTAAACCGTGCACCCCTCCCTTTTACGACGAGACCTGATTTACCGTAAGGAACCTAATAATCCTGTAAGGAAGTGCTGCATATCAATGTGGGCTTGTATCGGGAGTTTTGAGGTTACTCTAGATCTACAGGCCTTGACTCAGAGATCATTTCGGATGTTCAACTGGTCTTGCGAGCTTTGCACAGGCAATTGCAGAGTTTCGGTCTTAAACTGTGGATCCTGGACGCTAGCTTAACCTGCCAAGCCCTACTTTTATGTAGGCTCTTATAATAAGCCCCAGTATCGAATGTATAGGGACCTTACAAAGAAAGTAGTAAGAACCATGCGCGCACTTGTAGGTTCCATGTTGGTCTAGGTTTCCGAATAGTGCTCTTTTGCCTTTTTGCTGGGGGTCTCCTTATAACAGGAATACGGGAACCTTATAACGGGGTTACTGGAGGACTCATGAGTGGTTTCATTGAGGGTCACGCCCGCAGCCTAAGTTAGAATTCAAATCCAATTTCCCAATAACCCCACATTCCAAAGCCCCGTATAAATTCTCAAATCTTCAGGCCGTCGGCAAAGACCAATAGTCCCAAGTCTTCCTATACCCTGGACCCAAGTCTTCCAAAAAACCCTCAAGCATCCAAAGTCTGTGGCTTCCCAAGGTCCGCGATGGGCTCCTCGGTGATGGAAGAGTTTCAGAGAGCTTCAGAGTTTGGGGTCTGAGGGTTTCGGGCTGTGTATTCTTGGGTGTAGGGTTTAGGGTTCAGGGTTTAGGGGTTTGTATAGGGGTTTAGGCTTTACGTGGTTTAGGAAAGACAAATACCTAAATACGTTTGGGTTCTCTGGTCCCTTAAATACTGGACGACTTCAAGACTCCACACAGCTCCTGCCTTACCTTTGAAGACCATCCTGATACAACAGACTTATATATAGCCCTATCAACAAGTAGAGGTGCAAGAAGATAATGAAGAGAGCGTTGCTTTAATGTGATAAGAGGAACGAAGAGACGCACGCTTGACGTAGCGGAGCAATGCAGAGCTAGTTCGCATTTTTGATTGCCGTGGACTTCAGGCACCGAGATGCCTTCGCAAAGTTCGGATTTTGTGAGCGCTCAAGCATGACGACATGTTTGCGTGCGCAAGGCATTGCTCTAAGCCTTGCTCACAACCGTGTGCGAAATTTCGCAAGAGGTCCGAAAGACAGCGTGACGCTGCTTTGCGTCGTGCTGGCATGCCACCCATTGGCATTGGAGCTGCCAAAGGTCTTGCTACTGGCATCGTTTTCGCAAATCCCGGAGGCTTCTTTCAAGAATTCATGAAGTATGTGGTCGTAGCGACTTGAGCAGCTGGAAATGGCAGCAGGAAGAGACAGTCTTGGGCGGTGTCATCTTGTGGAAGGCTCTTTTGATGGTCACCCTCGCACAGCTTCCAGACGACATCGAGATCAAGAAAGTCCAAGCGCCAAGCAGCCATAGCTTGTCAACAGGAGACGGATATTCAGCAGGGCTGGCAGCGACGGGTGGTGCGTCGACCTTACAAAGGGACGGCTACAAGCGTTTCAATTTCGTTGGCGGCAAGGTTTAAAAATTGGCTCCTAAGTTGTCCGGCTACTTAGGTTGGTTTCCGGTGTATTGCCCTGGTCATTTTGTGCTTTTTGTCTCCAAGAATTAGTCCTGTAGAGTCGAGAAACGTACACATGTTGTACGTGAGCTATTGAAGCCCCTACACAAAATTCCCGGTAGTAAGCTGTAGAACCATACGGCCTTTTACCGAACCTCTTCAGCACATCCCCAAACCCAATTCTGGACTGTATTAACTTAGGCCTTAAAACACTTAAATGGGGGGTTTTCGAAGATAGGGGACTCTAATATAGTACCTTAGATAGTAGGATCCGTATTGTAAGGACCCCAAAATACGGTACCCCTAATTTTCGGAAACTCCCAAATAGGGACCTTATAGGGACCCATTCAAAGGCTAAGTATTTCGCAGTATGAGCACGTGGAGCTCGTTTAGGGTTAAGGCTCCTGTATCATTACACACCCCAAGGCTTTCGGAGAGCCAGTGGCTCTCTGGCCGCGTGGTGGCGCTAAACCCGGTCCAGGCGACCTGGGTTTAGGGTTGGCTTGAGGGTTTAGGCGGGGTTCAGGTTTAGAGTTGAGGGTTCTGAGTTGGAAAAAAACCCACGTTTTCGTGACCTGGGTATACGCTGAGGGTCCAAGCAGTCATTCTTCAGGAATCTTCGTGCCCAAAAAGAACCCAGAGTCCGATAATACGAGTACTTGGACCCGCAAAGGTAGAAACCAGTAGAGTCAGTAGAGGTAGACTTTACCTCGAGAAAGCGTAGTTGGGGGGCTATATAAAGAAGTCAGAACCAGGAGCGTTAAAGTGTAAGGTTATGGTGGGAAAGGTAGTCGCGATGTAGGGCTCTCAGGCTATAGTTGATGCTGCTTCAAGTTGACACTGTGGAGACATCCCTTACGTCCAATTTCTGGCTCAAAGTGGTTGACTTGTAGCAGTTACCTTATTGGATTTAAACTCAACTTTTCAACTCTTGGGGCTCTTATAGGGCAGTCGGTTCTGAAAGTTTAAACTTTTATTTTACTCGGTTTTGGGCCAGTGAGGCTGACTTTGCTACCAAGATCTTCCAATGTACCTTAACTAGGAAACACGCGTTGAACCGTTTGGGTATTTCCTTCAAGGTTACTTTTAAGGTCACCGCAAAAGGCTTTAGGATGTGTAGGGCAAAAGCGCTCCATGTACCTCTGTAATATGTTCAATACTTTGATACCTTTATAGGGATTACGTTAAGGCCTAAGTAAATACCATATGAGAACCATGGGTTTTTGGGTCGTGTGGCCACATCAGCCTGCCATTGAACCGAGCAGGATATCCCAAAGAGTCCTGGGTACTGTTTTGGGGTAATTCCCCAAATCATAGTAGTAACTCCCAGTACAGAAACCTTACTTACATTCGACTACATGGGTACTTAGGACGCTTTGGGCATGGAAAAAGCCAGAGGCGGTGCTGGAAGCGGAGGCTACTGAGTAGGTTTAGAGTTTAGGGTTTAGGGCCACTGCGTTTGGCCACAAGAAGGATCCCTAAACTCAAAGCCGATCTGGGTGATCCTTTGATCACAGCCCCAAAGCGGCAAGAGCCCATGTTGGGGCCGGCTTGGAATATTGGGACATTCGGACAAGGCATACTTGGGGCTTCGCATTTGTCGTCATATGAAATTAGCATTCAAATACTATAGGACTGATGATTGAGGCCTCAAATCTTTGAACACTTGTAGTATCCCCTTTAAATATCTACAAGCCCGTAAAGCAATGCTAAAACCTCCTTCTCAGCAGTGATCCTGAGCTCTTGCTTCACCAGGTGCGCCTGAAGGGTGGCCGCGTCGCCTTCACGTGGCGAGAGATTATTGCCCAGTGCTTGGCAAACCGGGTTTGGATTTTGTGGTCTATGGTTTACATAGGCATTTAGGGTTCAGGGCTTTCGGGTGTGAGGTCTCAGTCTTTAGGGTTGTGGGGGGGGGGGGGGTAGGGCTGCCGGGCGGAGGTTCGGCCGGGACGTCCTTTCAACAGAAACCCCCCCAAATGGTATTCTATCCGATTCTATCCGTTCAGGGCCGTATGTTTCTTCGGCTACTTTGAAATTCCCACACTGCTTGAGTCGGTGTTGAGTGGCACTACGGCACTACAAGTACAAGATACCGATTGGGCAATTCCAATTACAATCCGACCAGTTTTTTCCTTGTATATAGCTTCCCTTTTGTTCATGACTTTGTCTGTTGCTAAAGGATCTTCACCACCGAATCATGCAAAAATGAACCACAACGGAGCGCAGAGGCATTTTATGCAGTTTGCTCACACTACGTCCTCTGGTTAGGACATCCATCTGAAGTCTTTGCAGGCGGCTTCTGGATTTCTTGGGTTTCGGGTTCAGGGTTTGGGGTTCTGCGAAGAAGCCCGGAGAACTATACGTCCTACATACACGTGTTTTTTTCTTTCGGGGTCTGTGCAATAAATGCGTTATTGGCTGTAAACTCAAATTGGGGCTCTTATATGGTAGTCGATTCTGAAAGTTTTAGCTTTTATTTTATTGGGTTTTGGGCCAGTGAGATGCATGCCATACATTTTCTTTCGGAAAACATTCTACTAGCGACGTGGCTTCTGGAGCATATTTGTGTGACTTAATGGGGATGCCAGTTGCTGAGCAGCTGCGTGTATCAAACTAATGCTAAGATCACCCCCGGTTGTCATGTTGGTCACAGGCGCTGAGATAGAGGGATGTCCGGCGAAAAGCCCGGAACCACAGCCCCTGAAGCCTCAAGCCCCGAAATCTCTCATGCTAAATGTAACAGGCGTCGGAGAACGTGACAAGACTATTCTGCTGCACTTTCCATCTGTATATATATATATATATATACACATGTATGTATATATACACACTGAAACCAAAGCCTGCGGCGACGACGACGAGGACAGCACCACAATCCTACTCTCTCTGTTTCAAGCCCGTGTATGCTTCCCAGCGACCGTCAGCTTGACTACAGTCGCAGACCCTGGCGAGATATATACGACAGCTTTAATTACCTTAGATACGGCTCTCACTCATGAACAGTTCGACAATAACTTGGTAGATATTGAAAGCCCGTACAGTTAACCAAATTACAGACTGTTTAACGGGTCAGGGTGTACCCAATCTCAACCGCCAATTATCGCAATTGACAGCCCAACTCAACCACATTTCGCGACGTCTTGCGCACATTCCATTGTTCACTCACATAACCCTCAGGGCCCAAGTCCCAACTACCGTAGTCTGATCGATTTTCGTTACCTTAAACCTGCACTGTGCACACTCTGACCCGCTGGGTAAGGACAACAGGACCCGAATCCTGAAAAGAGTCGTGCATCAAGGCCGATTGCCAGAGCAGATCTCCATCACCCTCACCGACGTCCCCAAGAGAGTCGCGGCGCCCAGATAGCTAGAGGGCTTCCGAGTGGGCGTTTGGGTGGAGGGTTGTTGTGGATGGTTGAGAAATCTAGAAGCCTTCATTAGAATAGGGTTTGGGGGAATGTTCTAATTACTATATTTACAAGAAGGAAGCCCCAAACCGTTTTCTGATTAGTGTGGGCTGGGGGGAGATTCGGAATTTCAGCTTCTTGGAGGTTTAGGGTTTAGGGCTTGTGGTTTTAGTTTTAGCGTTTGGGGTTTAGGAAAGACAAGCTCTGGCTCTGACACGCGCTGCAGAGGGAAGCGTGCGTCGAGATTCTCAGATGTCGAGTTTTGCAGATTTCAGTGAGGCTGTCTACTACAGGGTCCCGTCAAGTGTCCTTGTCTCGAGCGTAACTACCCCTTCGGGCATCCAAGTGGGGCACTGGAAAGCATGCTGTAAGCAACCACGGTGTGGAGGGGTTGAGGGTTTGGGATCAGATCTATAGCCTTTTTATCGGGATTGAGACGGCTCAGAACTGAGGTGCAAAGAGGGCTTGAAGAGTTGGTAAGCATCTCAGGGTTTCGATGGGCTGTAAGTTTAGGTTTAGGGTTTAGAGTGTTTGGTAGTAGGGGCCTACCATGATCTTGATTGGCGGTTCCTTTTGTAGTATACTATACCACCGAAGCCCTATTCTATCCTGTTCAGTTGCTTAATTGAGGCCAAGCACCTAAAGCCAACAAAGACTTAAAACCCTAAAACCCTAACCCCCAACAAAAACCCTAAGACCCTAAATCAAGGCCCTAAACCTTAAACCCTAAACTCCGAACCCTAAACCTAAACCTTAAACCCTAAATCAAGGCCCTAAACCTTAAACCTTAAACTCTAAACCCTAAGCCCTAAACTTAGACCCTAAATCAAGGCCCAGCTCGCCGTGCCTCCATCCTGCCGGGGTGCAGGCCCGGAGCCTTTCGAGAGCAAGTCTGTTTTCGGTAAGGAAGGGTTTAGGGTTTAGGGTTTAAGGTTTAGGGTTTAAGGTTTGGGGTTTCGGGTTTAGGGTTTAAGGTTTGGGGTTTAGGGTTTAGGGTTTAATTGGCTGTAAACTCAACTTTTCAACTTTTGGGGTTCTTATAAGGTGGTCGATTCTGAAAGGTTCAGCTTTCATTTCCTTGTGGTTTTCGGCCAGTCTGTTTTCGGTAAGGAAGGGGTTCGGGCCCTTAACCCATCAACCTTGAATCCCTATACATAAAACCTTAGGGCATATAGTAGGTTACTAGCCCTATATTATATACCCCAGTGACCTACCAAGCCTAGGCTCCAAAAGCATCTCCAGCCATGCTCGTAACAAGTACGGTTCTCGATTTGCGGTACAATTCGGAACTTGGGCTTTCATAGTTTGGGATACGAACAAACATTCGAGCCTTTTTGGGTGCGGTTGACTGCTTCGTCCAAGGTATCAGGAAATCACAACATCTGAATTCCAAACTCCAATCAACTGTACATCGTAAGCCCCAGGCTCTATACACCCCAAGGAGCGGTTGCATAAGCAGCTCCTGAAGTCACACATTTGTGATTTTTTTGTACGGTTAAGGACCGCGCTGCTTGTCCCCCAAGCGACCAACTATTCCGACAGCATATATTCAGATTCTTCATGTCTGACCAAAGTTTCTGCGATTTAAGCATGTGGATCCCACTCCTTGAGAATATTCTGAGCTTGTCGACGGTTTTAGCGGTGCTGGTCTGACATCGGGAGTTGATTTCAAGCTCAGGGTTTAGGGTGCAGGGTTAGCGGCTTGGGTGGTTTTTGTTATTGTGAGCTTCAGGGCGCCTGACATAAGTCTGCGTTCACAGCAGTCGCTTTAATTCAAGCAGTGCCTACAGCCGGACACAGGTTAGCCAAGCTCTTGCATGCTACAATCTGCTAGAATCCGCAAACCATGCTCGCCCGGTCATTGTCGACGGCTGCTCGGCTGGAGAAGGGTCACAATTCTCGGCCGCACGACATCATAGAACAGCTGCTGAAGCTGCAACCGAAAGCCGGGCAGGAAAGCGTACAGCAGGTTTTGGCCCAACACCATTTGGATCGTAAGTCTCTGCGCTGGGCGATGCAACTAAGTAGCTGAGTTTGCAATCTTTACCGTTTTGGGACATATCTATAATGTCTATATCTATGTGTATATCTATGTATGTATATATATATAATATATATACAGATAGACTCGGGATATGGATATAGATATAAATATCTAGACATCTAGATATCTAGATTAAACCGATAAAGATGTATGTATGTCTATATACACGCATATGCATATGCGCTCGCTAGATAGGTTGATCGACAGATAGAAAGATCAAACCTCCTCGAAGCTTAAACCGTCGAATTTTCCGGGGCTTCTAGAGCGGGAGACCCAGGCATTATCTCAATGCCCGGCGAAGATTCGACCTGGTGGGTACGTTGCTAGCCGAGAGGCTCAATGCCGATGACACAAAGGTAGGTGTCTAGGCCATAGCTGAACACCTTTTGCAACTTGCTGTGGTATGCTCATGGGAAGGAACAAGGCCATAGCTGAACACATTTGTTGTATCTTGTCTTAGTATGGTCATTAGAAGGAACAGGGCCGTAATTGAACTTTTCTGTGTAACTTATTCTAGTCTGGTGTTCTGCAGGAACACCCCTTCTAGAGAAGCCCAGGTGTGTCTGAATTCACCATTGGAATTAGTGCCTGCGCGAGGGCGAAGACTTGGCAGCTCGCGATGTATTTATTTGACAGCATGCATCGAGCAAACGCGAATGCCAATGCTATCAGCTACAGTGCGACCATCAATGCGCTTGAGAAGGGTGGGCAGTGGCAGCTGGCAGTGAATCTGCTCGACAACATGTGCGAAGCCAAACTTCCTGCCGATGTCATCACATACAACACCACGATCAGTGCTTGTGAGAAGGGTGGGCAATGGCTGTTGGCGATGCATCTCTTCGACGGCATGTGCAAAGCCAACGTTCCTGCCGATGCCATCACCTACAATGCGGCTATCAGCGCTTGTGAGAAGGGTGAGCAGTGGCAGATGGCGACGCATCTGTTCGACCAGATGCGGATAGCAAGTCTGCCTGCCGATGCCATCACGTACAATGCGACCATCAGCGCGTGTGAGAAAGGCGGGCAGTGGCAGCTGGTGTTGGATCTTTTCGACAGCATGCACAAAGTTAGCCTTTCTGCCGATGTCATCAGCTACACTGCCACCATCAGCGCCTGTGAGCAGGGTGAGCAGTGGCAGTTGGCGATGCATCTGTTCGACAGCATACGCAATGCCAAGCTGGAAGTGAATGTCAGCAGCTACAGTGCCACCATCAGCGCCTGTGAGAAGGGTGGGCAGTGGCAGCTGGCAATGCATCTGTTCGATATAATGGGCTACAGTGCCACCATCAGCGCTTGTGAGAAGGGTGGAGAGTGGCAGTTGGCGATGCGACTGCTCGACAGCATGCGCAAAGCCAACCTTCCTGTTGATGTCATCACCTACAATGCCGGCATCAGCGTTTGCACGACGGGCGGGCAATGGCAGTTAGCGCTGCACTTGTTCGACAGCATGAGCAAGGCCAATCTGCCATTCGATGTCATCACCTGCAATGCCGCCATCCGTGCTTGCGAGCAGGGTGAGCAATGGGCGCTGGCGATGCATCTCTTCGAAACCATGCAGAAAGGCAAGATGAAGGGAACGGCTGTTACCTACACTGCAGTGTTGGATGCCGTGTGTAGTCAGACGCAGGACCATGGGTATGGTCTTTTCCTGCAGGCTCGACAGGCTGGGCTTTTTGGCAACTTGTGTAAGCAGGATCCTGCTCTGCTTGACTTGCTTGACATGTCGGCCTCTTCCGCATGGATGGCTGTGAGGTGGTGGCTGCAGGAAGTGATGCCTCCACTGCTGCTCGGTGCTGGTTAAGGAGTTTAATTCTGTCAAGGCTACCACAATAAGCAATGGCAATAACATGTGTAATTTATCTTTAGATCCCGGTCACAATGTTTTTTCCCGAACAAGAACCCAGGCTGTCCCAAAAGCCCAGCTACCGTGGCATCATCATCACCGGTCGGGGCCAGACCCGGCCTGTTGCTCACAAGACTGACCTTCAAGCCTCCATCCTGGGGAAGTTGAGAGATCATGGTCTCAGCGCCGAGGTCCGCAGGTGGAGCAAAACACCCAAAGCCCTAAACCCGTAAACCCGAAAGCTAAGCCCTAAACACATAAGCCCTAAACATTAAACCCTGACCCCTAAACCTTAGACGAAACAATAACATCTTTAACCTTCGGCCCTAAACTATGGCCCTGCACCCCATGAGCCCTATAAACCCAGGTTCAGAAGGGGAACAAGGGCAGGCTTCAGCTGCAGCTGACGACTTCGGACCTGAGAGCTTTTCGGGAGCAGCAGGAAAACTTGGGTTCTGGCTAAGGAAATTAAGGTACTTTTGGAGGGCCATTATAGGGATCTACAGTAACCGGTGTCGCTGTGGAAAGGCGGCTGAAAGCCATAGTTGCATATTCCGCGTATGTGCTTTTTGGAGTTCTACCCTTTAGATTTGTTCTTGCTTTTATTGCAATGTGAGCTTGGGCTATAAAGCCAAATTTCGTTGTTTGAGGATCAAACAGTCTTATGAACCTTTGCGCAGCTTCCCAAAGGTTGCCTAAACCCCAAAAGCTTAAACCCTAAACTATACTGTTTCTCACAGAATGGGATTTCCATTCGTCGAGAGTCGGTTTAAGAAATGGCTCCCATCATCCGGGTTTCTCGAAAAGACGATGTTTGAGGCGATCCCTAGAGAAACGTCCCATGTATACATAAAATATGTGCACACTTATAGTTTTCTCGGTTATATAACAGTAGGTTACAGTCTTTGAGCTTGATGTCGTGCGTAGCATAAACAGGAACCAATGCTGTAGCAAACAGGGATCTGAGACCTACACTCCAGACGCCGAAAGCCCCAATACAGGAGGCTAAATGATTACCTACACTAGTTTGGGGGTTCCCTGGTGTAGATATAATATATTCGGCCCAAACACCCTATTCTAAGTATTAAGGCCCCTCTATTACACCCTAAACCCTTATCAGCCTATCGAATGCCCTGCAGCAGACCGTGAGCCCGTAGTCGACACAGAGTAGAGCAAGACATGGTATCTTAGGGGTACTTAGAAATCCCTAAGGGTCCATGTACTCATATAGTATATACATTGGCCTTAATGTAGTCCCTATATAGGTACTTTGGGGCCCATGTATCTCTATACAGGTACATGGACCGTTAGGGAATAGCTTTTAATCTGTGGTTATTCCAATCCCGAAGAGACAGCTAAAATTCGAATTTTGTTAGGGGTCTAAGTTCAGTATAGGTATGGCTTGGGGCAGTTAGCTATCTCACAGCGCAAGTATATAGAGACTGCAACAGGAGACTTCTAATGCACAAGCCCTGAAAGCTTGACCGCCGTAAAACACCCAAAAAAAACCCTAAACCCCTAAAGCGACCACAAAACCCCTAAACCCCTCAACCCTGACCCTAAACCTTCCGTATTCATCAGGCGTATGCTTCCCTCAACCATGCTGGTAGTATTGCGGGCACCAAAAGACACGAGGGCTTAACAAAACCAAAACCTTCCTTAAATAGGAGGCCCAGTAGTACCCTTATTCCCTTTTTGTAGTCCTAGGTTCCTTATAAAGTTACCCAATACCAAAAAGAGAGGCCTTTTTATTCTTAGGTTACAGGGTATCCTAGTATATTCTGGTACCCTTATAGATCCCTTATAGTACCCTTTTAAAGGACCCTTTTAAAGGAACCCTAGTAATTTTGGTGTTACAGGCTATCACCTGCGCCTCCAGGCTCGCCGGCGTGCACGAACTCTCTCGCGCCGGCGCCGGCGCCGAGAGAAGGCTCGGATCTAGGAGCTAGGGCATTCGGGGCTTCTTGTTAAGGAAGTCAGTCTGAGTTACCACAATAGGGAGCTATGGTAAATAATATGGCTGAGGGTATCTTTAAGGTACCATGATAGGGGTCTATAGTAATTAATAGCTAGGGCATTCGGGGCTTCTTGTTAAGAAAGTCAGTCTAAGTTACCATATAATAGGGATCTATAGTAAATTATGCGGTTTCCTTTTTATGGTAACTTAGGTTAAATCCCTTGAGAAGAACCCGGGCATTCGGGCCTTCTTGTCGCGTTTGATGTTCCTGTTTAAGATTCGGGGGCTGGGGTTTAGGGTTTGGGGATTAACGTTTGGAGTTTTTGGGATAGGGTTTAGGGCCTTACGGTTTAGGGCCTAGTTTGGGGTGTGGGTTTGAGGTTGCGGTTTAGGGTGTCGGCATGCTTATGCTGCGTTTACGGTGGTGTTTACGCTGCCCGGGGTCTTTACAGTCGGAGGGTTGTTGGGAGTAGGGTGCAGGAGTTCGGGTTCTAAGTTTGACGTAGGCGGGTTTCGAGAAAAGTGAAGAACTGCGGTGGAGTAAGCCTGCAACGACAAAGATTCATACAAACTCGAGTAACTCTTCGAACCCCTTAAAGCCCAGACAATTCTGTAGAGCTCCTAACTTCTACGGACCAACCTCTCTCCCGGGTTCAGCTTCGTTGAGATACTCTACCTAAGACCCGTCGTCTCCTTTGTAGAAAGTAGCCGGAGGTTGTGGCAGGTGGTAGGTAGTCGCACGCAGTAGTAGCAGTAGTAGTAGTAGTAGTAGTAGTAGTAGTAGTCGTAGTCGTAGTAGTAGTAGTAGTAGTAGTAGTAGTAGTAGTAGTCGCAGCAGTAGTAGTAGTAGTAGTAGTCGCAGTAGTAGTCGCAGTAGTAGTAGTAGTAGTAGTAGTAGTAGTAGTAGTAGTAGTAGTAGTAGTAGTAGTAGTAGTAGTAGTAGTAGTAGTAGTAGTAGTAGTAGTAGTAGTAGTAACGGTAACAGTAGTCGTCGTCCTCCTCCTCGCTGTGGTTGCAGTGACGTAGTCGTCTTCGTAGTAGTGTAGCAGAGCCTTGATCATTGGGTCGTGGGGGATGTAATATTGCAGAGTTGCAAACAAACCGCCACGAAACGATCGTTAGGCCCTAAAAACGACATAACTCGAAAGCTGCTCCAGGAGATGAAGGAGAAAGAACTGGAGATGCAGCAGGCTTGGTGCAATTACGGGTTCGGGCTTTTACGGGATGCCAAAAACCCTTCAGGGCTTTGGGTTTAGGGCTGCAAATTCTCCCTGCCTGAGTTGGGGGTGGGGGGGGTTATAGCGCTTGTTTTTGAATAGAAGCCACAGTTTGCCAGTTTAGTCTAAACCCTTAGGCCTGAAACCCTAGACCTGTAAAGCAAAAAATGCAAAGCAAATGTTACTAAATCTGAACCTTAGCTAAAGTCAAACGCCACAGACCAAGAACGGCCCGAACCCCTACCCTAAGAGCTCAAGGACAAAGTAGCAACCTACTCTCTCAAATACCAACCTTCACAACTACTATCCAATACAAAGTACTTCAATATTGAATCCTTTGGGCCTGAACTTCTTTCAAAGGGGAAAGGAGGGACCCTTAATGGGGACCCCTACCCTATAATGGGCTATATAATGGGTATATCATAGCTATATTACGGATATATACCTAGGGGTCCTTATTAAGGGTCCCTCCTTTTCCCCTTGGATTCCTAACACCCCCATAGAGACCCGTAACACCATATTATGGTAACTTACATTCAGTTTCTGAACGAGACATTATGTAGTCTGGGGATCTACAGTAAACAGTGGTTTCCTTCCTATGGTAGCTTTACTTTGTTCCTTACCCCTTATAGAACAATTATAACTTAAGCTTTGGTAGTCTACGGTATGTCCGGCAAAAAGAACCCAGTAACGCCGAAGCCCCGTCAGGCTGTTCTGACTATGCTTCAGCGTGCCAAAGATGACCCCAGGACGACACTGCCTTTTTATAGGGGCTGGAATATAGAGGTTTAGGGTTTTTTTTACCCTAGGGTTTTTTCTACAAGGCAGGATACAAGGCTCTGGATAGTTGCCTGCTTCGGTGAACAAGGGTTGTATGTCACCCGAATCAGTGCGACAAGCCCTTCTTGGATTAGCCTCCCTAGAAAACTTGAAACGGCCCCTCAAACAATTGCCATGCATGTTTGATTTCTTACGCGCTACCACGGGGTCTGTCTGTATTACTTGTTGGAAGGGACTGGCCCACTCTTGGTATAAGGGCTCTTAACAATCAGACGAAGGGCAGTGGGAATCGCGGGTCTTAGGATCCATTTGCTCGGGTTCACAGTTATGGTGGGTGGGCGGGGGGCTCCTTTCTATCTGAAACTCTTGTATTAGAGAGGGCTTTACTCTACCACAGGTATTTAGAGTTCAAAGACAGCAAGCTCCCATATTAGGCAACTTGCCTGCCACTCTTGATCTTAATTTCATACCTTACCTAAGCCTTACCTTAATTTAATCCTCAAGAAGCATACCTTTGAACGACCTATAATAAGGAAATCACAAGAAGGAACCCTAAAACTGAAGGTTGCTATTAAGGTTCAGGTAAGCTCGGACTCCTTCACCTTCAAGCTGTATCCGACATGGGTCGGAACTTCCGACAGAAGCGGGCAAAGCTGTCTCCCTCAGGGTCCAAGTGCTGAATCATCAGCGACCCTCTATTCTTCATCCCAGAGGGGCTTGCCTTCCATAAACAGGGGTCAGAGCCTATTTTTCTGCAGAGTATGATAACTGCTGAACCCGAAGACATAGCCTCGCTTGACATATGCTGCTTCGCGCAGGATTCCCCAGGCAGCGGAGCAGGTTAAGCAGACGAAGGCATGGGGCATTGGTTGATGGGCTTTGCAGTACCAGGTGCTTTGTTGATTTTTTTGGGTTTAGGATCTTCACAGTTCACTGTTCGAAGGTGATACATGTTGTGAGACGGACATGTTGACAGCTTCTCCAGTCACCCGACGACCGTGCTTTTCAACCGCCGGAACATCAATATCCTCATGCCCTGAAGGTAAAACATAGGCGATACCAGCACTACCATTACTTCATCCTGAGTCCATGCTCGGGCTCTCTGGGGTGCACTAAATTCACTAAATGGGAGTTTCCGAAAATTGGGGGGGTACCTTTTTGGGGGGTCCTTATAATAAGGACCCTGCTGGTTAGGGGTGCTATATAAGGGTCCACTTTTTCCGGAGACTCCCCTCAACCTTCAAACCCGAATCCCTAAACCCTCATAGTTCCCTTATGGACTCCTTAAACGGACCTTTAAAGGAACCCTGAACAGATTTCCTTTGAATCAGAAGTATCAGATTCCCCCATTTTCGGAAACTCCTATATAGCTCCTAGATCCCCCCGAGTGAACCCAAAGTCACCATCAACCTCAGTGTTCACCTAGAGGCTCCACATATAATACCGGTATGGAATAAGGTCCCAAAGACCATGCTTAATATGGTTTTAGGGACCTAATTCCATAATGGTAGTATATGTGGAGCCTCCTGCATGTTTTAGGATTTGAACGTTCCTTTTCATGTGATCCGTATAAATACGTATGAAATATGTGCCTGAAAAGGTATAGGTTATTATCCCAAAGGCTCCATGTAGCTTCATGGTAGATACTTAAGCCTTAAAGGGGTCCCTCTATAGGCACTTTAAGGCCTAAGTATATACTATTTGGGTACATGGACCCTTAGGGTATTATTTGGGATTAACGTAGACCCCAAAACCAAAACTCTTCTCTTCTTCGCATTGCAGAGGCGAGGGCGCTCCGGGATGCCCTAGACGAGGCCATGGGAGTGCTGGGAATTCCGCTACCTCAGTATACCTGTGGGCTCCATTGTAGTCACTTTTTTTGATTTTTTTGTGGTTCATTGTAGCTCCTTGAAGTTTTTGGTGGTTTATTGTAGTTCCTTTTTGAAATTTGTGTGGTTTAAGTTTTGCATACTATCAGGCAACCCCCAAAAGGAGCTGCAATGGAGCCTGTGGGATAATGATCTCATGGTCAAAGGTCTGCACCCTAAGCCCTACACGCTGAACTCGAAGCTCCGAAGCCCTACATAGTAACTTTAGAATGTTGAGTTCTGCGGTTGATGATATAAATCCTGCATTACCCATCATCAGCAAATGTACCATAATTCCCATAGTCTAGGGTCATTAAGGTAAGTCAGGATTTATATCATCAACCGTAGTGTTTGGGGTTTAGGGTTCAGGGTCAGGGGTTGTAGGGTTGAGGGACTCAGTGTTTCGGGGTACTAGGGAGGACGGCCAGATTGCACCCGAAACCCTAGAACCCTCAAGCAGTCCGCAAGCCCTCAAACCGTAAACCCTAAGCCCTAAAACTCTGAACCCCCTGAACGCTAAAACCCTCTAAAATCCCTCAACCCTGAACCCTAAAACCTTAAACTCCTGAAGCCCCAAACCCCAAACTCCTGAACCCCAAATTACCTTAAACTCCTGAACCCCAAAACCGCAACCCCCAAGTCGAGGTCTGCCGAGAGATGGAGGAGTACGCTGAAGAGATGAAGCAGAAAGCAGAGGCTGAACGAGCCGAGAAGCCCAAGGAGCGGGGTTCCAGCTTTGAGGGTTTTTGAGTTTATGGTTTGAAGGTATATTGAGTTTAAGGTTTCAGGGTTTGTGAGTTTAGGGTTTGAGGGTTTTTGAGTTTAGGGTTTGATGTTTGTTGAGTTCAGGGTTCGTTTTGAAGGTGATAGGATTGTAGGTTTCGGGGTATATTGGGGTTTGGGAGTTGCTATTACCCTGAGGATCCATGTACCCATGCAGCATATACTGATGCCCCAAAAAGTACCTAGACCAATTCAGGCCAAACCATATGAGATATGAGCACATGGACCTGTAGGACTATGAGAAGGGCAGGCCACACTTGGAACCGTCACCTTCAGCTTTACAGCCACCCAGTCGGGGTGAGAGGCTTGCCTCCTAAACCCTAAACCCTAAACCCTAAACCCTAAACCCTAAACCCTAAAGCCCTAAAGCCCTAAACCCTAAACCCAGTTACGGATCCTAGACTTGCCTGCCAACCCCAAGCCCGAAGTCTCAATCCCCAAACCGCTTCAAAATCTCACTGCAGAGAGGAAGCAGGGGATTCAAAAGGCTGTAGGTTAGAAGCTGCCCCCACCCTGTAATAGTGGCATAATACGAATATAATAGGGCCCTAATATAATCCTTATAGTCACTATTGCAGGGCGGGGGCAGCTTCTAAGCTTTAGGTTTTCGGGTTCAGGATGGTCTAGGGCTGCAGCCCCAAACCCTCTAGAACCTCTATCATAGATCCCCTGACATGAGCCCTTCAGGGTTCCTTGAAAGCGTTCCCTTAAGGGTTTTCTCAGAAAGGTTCCTTTAAAGAGCTCCTTGAAAGGACCCCCTACATGCCTTAAGGATGAAGCTGCTTAGTTACGTTGTCAGGCGCTCGTTCGTGTCGCCATCCTCGCGTCCTCATGCCGTAGCCTGTCCGAGTTTAGCCAAAGGGGTCCGCAGGACCCAACAGACAGGTACTGGGGTTTAGGATATTAGTTATGTCGGCTATTAGGGGGGAGGGTACTTGGACCCTTAGGGTAGGGTTTAAGGAATTCGTTGCTGCCCTGTCTCCGCCCTATGCGTGATCCTTTCGTCCCCTCACATAGTTCCTGAAGACGAAGGTTGTTTTTGCCCTAAGGGTCCATGTGCACATAGAGTATATACTTCGGCTCTGCAGTATAAGGCCAAAGTATATACATGGACCCCTATACACTAAACCCTATAAAACCGTTGTCGAACCCTTTAAAGGGATCCCTTAAAGGAGCCGTGTTTGAGTCAATGGACCCTTCGGGTTCTACCCAAAACCCTAAACCTTAAACCCTAAACGCTATAAACCCTAAACCTTAAACCTTGAACCCTAAACCTTAAACCCTAAGGGTTAAACCCTAAACCTTAAACCCTAAGCCTTAAACCCTAAACCTCAAACCCAAAGCCTTAAACCCTAAACCTAAACCCAAAAGACCCCCAACCCACAACCTTAAACCCTAAACCCAAAACCGTTCGAAAAGGGCCCATAAACAAAAAAAAACCGTGCCAGGCCAAAGATGCCAAAGCCTCCAGTGGCTTGGCTGCCGTACAGTCTCCTACTTGGAGGGGCAGGGGACTTAGTAAGGGTTCTTAAAGGGCTCCTTAACAGGGATCTATAGGGTTCCTTACAAGGATCTATGGGGTTTATTAGGGTTTATGGTCTACTTGGAGGGGCAGGGGACTTAGTAAGTAGGTTACAAGTAGAGTTTTAAGTGCCCTAAATGGAGTTACCCCAATTGTAACCCTACTTATAAACGGCTTACTATGTCCCCTGCCCCTCCAAGTAGTAGTCGAGCAGGTAACCTTTTAACCTTTTTTGGGTATTATAGTCTTTATATAACCCTATGTAGCCAAAAGAGGTTAACCTTTAGCTCCTCATGATACCCGACAAGTAGGTTCTTACCCTCATTTCCAACATCCCTCAGTTTAGGAAGATACCAGAACAACCCCAGTATCGTTTTAGTTGAGCCCTTATGGTCCTGAATAGTTGGTCTTTATGGTATAGTAAACGGTATACCCTAATATGATTTAGGCTGTGTTCTATTGGAAGATCTGGGTAGTGTTTCGGGTGCAGGGTGTGGGAAGTTCAGTTTACAAACATTCGGCTGCAGCCCTAAGGTTGCACGTGCCCACATCGTAGACACATTGGCCCTATGTGGCTGCCTACTACTACTAACAACAACAGCAACCACCACCACAAGAGCAACACCGTCAACAACAACAACAACACCAGCAGCAGCAGCAGCAGCAGCGGCCACAACAACAACAACAACAACAACAGCAAACTTAACGTGAACATAAGCATTATCATCAACATTTACATAATTATCCTTAATGTTATCATGCAGCTTAACATTAACATCAACATCAACATGCAAAACAGCACCACCACCACCACCACCACCAACAACAACAGCAACAACAGCAGCAACAAGTACTAGTACGAGTACTAGTACTAGTGCTAGTGCTAGTGCTATACTAGTACTAGCACTAGCACTAGTACTAGTACTAGTACTCGTACTACTCAGTGACTATATACTCACGCTGCTGTTGCTTCTACTGTTGACAATGCTGTTTATTTCGATTATCCTTAACGTTATCATGCACCTTAACATTAACATCAACATCAACATGCAAAACAGCACCACCACCACCACCACCACCACCAACAACAACAACAACAACAGCAACAACAGCAGCAACAAGTACTAGTACTAGTACTAGTGCTAGTGCTAGTGCTATACTAGTACTAGCACTAGCACTAGTACTAGTATTAGTACTCGTACTACTCAGTGACTATATACTCACGCTGCTGTTGCTTCTACTGTTGACAATGCTGTTTATTTCGAGTTCTGCCACTTCTACAGAGCATTCACGTCTGGTAGCAAAGCAGAGGCAAAGATGCCAAGAGCGCTAAGACGAAGAAGCCTGCGAAAGAAGCGAAGAAGGAGCTGGTGAAAGAATGAGGTGACATGGTGTCGGATCTAGGGTCATATGGGTGGTTGTCAAAATCAGGGTCCCTTTTTAGGCACCCTAAACAATCGGTGCCGAGGGACCCCAAAAGGGACCATAATTTGCACAACCACCCATATGGAGTGTAGGGCTCCAGGTAGACATCCTGTAGCCGACAAAGCGAACAGGGATGACACGATCTTGTCAAATCATGTTCTTCAAGAGTCAACGGGGTCCAGGGCATCGGGGTGTAGGGTTTTGGTGATATCAGCTTTGGGGCTGAGGTTTCAGGGTTTCGAAGGCCTTGTAGTCTTGAGTTCTTGGCAGACTTGAGACGGCAGTGCCTGCACATAGGAGCCCGTGGATGGAGAGATGAAAGACGAAGATGGAGAACTCGGAGAAGAGGCGTGATTGAGTGTTTGTGTGTACAGTAGAAGCCAGAAAGTTGGAACATCATTGCCCTCATACCATTAAGGTAAAGCATCAGGGATCCGAGCACGATGCATCCTAAATCCATGTTCCAACTTTCTGGGTTTGACTGTGTAGATTTGCATTGTGTTGTATGCGTGCTGGAGATGTCTTACCCTAAACCCGAACCGTATGGTGTTGGATTTATGGTGTCTTGGGCATGGAGTTTCGGGTTTGACGCTTTCGGGTTTGGGGTTTGAGGGCTTGGAGTTTAGGCTTTAGGTTCAAGGCTTTAGGGTCGCGGGGTCTACGAATGTATGTTCTTGGTGGTTGAGAAGACCCTAAACATTACTAAACACCCTAAGGCCGAAGCGATTGCTAGCAGACTTTCGCGTGATTTTTACATGCAGGAGGCCGAGAAGGGTCAGAAGAATGAGGAAGATGGAGATCAGGAGGCACCTTTTTATTTGGGTTTTCTTGGCTTAGGGTCTAGGGTATGGGGTTCTGGCTTAGAGGTGTGGGTATCGGTATCTGAGTTTTTGTTGTGCATTGATTTGGGTTTGCGGGCTTGGGGCAAGGCCTCGTGGTGTGAGTGTTTGAAGATTTAACGTAGGTTTCGTGTTTGGGGTTGGGGTTCATGGGTTAAGGGTTTCGGGGCCAGGTCCAGGTTACGTATTATAGTTAGTGTACGACTCGTATTGAGAATTGAAACTTACTAGACATATGGATATTCTGGAATTGAGGTCCTCTGGGGCATATCCGACTGTGGGAGTTTCCGAATATAGAGACCTAATATATTAGAATACTCTAAATAGTAGGATGCTTATTACAAAGACCCCAAAATGGGCCACACCCAATTTTCGGAAACTCCCATGTATTACGACTGTATTACACGTAAACTACGTGCTGTGTCCGTGGATCCCTTACCCTAATGCTCAAAATAGCCCAAAAGCCTTTTATAGTATGGTCTTTGGGCCCAAAAGCCTTAAAATGTGAGTCCTTAGAGCCTAAGGGTTAACATCAAAATCCGAAGTCCCATAAACCTCAGCTCTCCCCCGTCTATTGATTTAGGACAGCAAGCCCGAATCCCTAAACCCTACTTGGAGGGGCAGGGGACTTAGTAAGTCGTTTATCAGTAGGGTTATAATTGGGGTAACTCCATTTGGGGTACTTATAACTCTACTTATAACCTACCTACTAAGTCCCCTGCCCCTCCAAGTAAACCCTATAAACCCTAAAACGAAACCCGACCCAAAATCAATCCTCACCGTATCCTCGAGCCCCGGCGTGCTTTGCCATGGCTGGCACAGCTGACTCCCGGAATTGTCCGGGTCTACCTTAACATAGCGGGATCCCTAAGCCCCAAGCCACGAACCCTAAGTAATCAAGGTAGGGTTCCTGTGCGGGTTTCTTGCGCTGTTGCTTTCCCTAAGGCCCCATGTACCCATATAGTACATACCTAGGCCTTAAAGTACCTATATGGGGACCCCTTCAAGGCTTAAGTATCTACTATAAGGGTACATGGAGCCTTCGGGTTTGCGAGCTCTGTGCCATGACCGCCTGAGCCCAAGGGCAAAAGGCCCGACAAAAACCCTATACGCCCCAAACCCCTAAACCCTAAAGGCTATTGCCCCTAAAGCCGTTAAGCCGCCCAGTCTCTAAGCCCTTGCACTCTGAAACCCAAAGCCGCCTCGCTGCTAGCCCAGCACTGAACCCTAAACTCTAACCTCCCTAAGAGCCCTAAGCCCTGCGAGCCCAGAACCCGAAACCCTACTAAGAGCCCTAAACGCTAAGAGCCCTAAGAACCCTGAACCCTAAACCCCCTTTGAAACTCTGCCTCCGAAACCCGACTTGGCAACGAACGTGGCGAGGACGACTGGAACCCTCTCAAGGCCTGTGCCTCTACAAGCGGTGTTTTTTTAGGTGTCGGTTTTGAGGGTTTAGGCCTAGGCCTTCAGGAATCTAGGGCTTTAGGGTTCTAGGGTTTAGGGTTTGGGGTTCAGGGTGTTGGGTTTCGGCCTGGGGTGGTTGTTTGGCTCCTTCAAGCTTCAAAATTGGTGGTCCTGAACGCCGAATGCAGAAACAAGCTCTTTATATTCATCGAATTACGTCTTTCACAGGGGAATTTCAAACATGCACATGGCTGTGCACCGTCGCATTGAGGCGGTATCCCCAATAGATGGTCTTCGGAATAAATAGGGATAAGTTCAGGCTGTAGGCTGAGAGTTCAAAGCGCTCCATAAGCGTTCTGAGCCTTAGATTAGAGATCGGAAGCTCCCGGGTGGCATGTTTCGGGTTTAGAGGTTTATTTTGGGTTGTGGGTTTGCAGTGTTGTTAATATTACAGTTCTCGGGGTTTCAGCTATAGAACTTTTGGAGAAGTCAGGCTTTGTGTTTGTTCGGGCGGGTTGCATGGTTCGGGAACTACACAATAGAGCTGGGGAAATTATAGCGAGGTCATACGACGTCATCTCGAAATTGCGGAATTAACGACCCGACTTGGAAATCGAAAATAAGTGACCTGGCCTCAGGTCTGTCGGACTGCTGTTTTGTAGTGGTCGGGGGTTATGGGAAGGCTGGAGGCTGGGAAGGCACTGGACTTTGTTGAGGCTGAACAAATTGATTTTGGGTGTTCCGGGCCGTGGGAAGGCTGGAGGCTGGGGAGGCACCGGGCAGGGAATCCAACATCAATTTGTTGAGGCACAACAAATTGATGTTGGGTCGGGTCGTGGGAAGGCTGGAGGCTGGGGGGCTGGAGGCTGGGGAGGATTTATATAGGTAGGGGTTGAAGTAGGTTTGGGCACCCTTGTCAGTACTATTCCTCAGGGTTCCTCAATATGCTTATTCCTGATCCTGAGGGTTATAGTGTTATAGTGAACCCCAGAAAGTTCGAACATGGACTAAGGATGATTAGTGGTAGGCTTCCCTATACTTTACCATAAGGGCACGAGGATAAGGATGTTCCAACTTTCTGGCTTCCACCGCAAGACTACCCTCGGGAAGCAGGATGACCTGTGTATCATATAGGGTTTAGGATTTAGGATTTAGGGTTTAGGGTTTAGGCTCAGGGGCCCTAGTCATTAGGGTTTAGGGTTTATTAGGTCTTTTGGACACTTGAGGTTAGTAGATTCCTGCGGGTGCCGCAGTAGATTCCCAACTGTCTCAGTGAGGGTTACTTGCGTACTATAGAAAATGTAGTTCGTATGAAAAGAACTCTTGAGAGTGTAAGGGATTCTGGCCCTAAGTAATCCAGACACCCAGTCCCCATTCTGGTTCAGTTTGTTGGTTTCGGAGTGCCCGAGGCCTTCAAAACTCCTTACGGCATACAATGATGGATCCTACTCTACCTTAATGTAGATTTCTCAATGAAGGCGTTTCGAAGGCTCTACTTGGAGGGGCAGGGGACTTAGTAGGTAGGTAATAAGTAGAGTTATAAGTACTCTAAATGGAGTTACCCCAATGATAACCCTACTTATGGACGACTTACTAAGTCCCCTGCCCCTCCAAATACGTGTCTGTGAACCCTGAGGCCCTGACCCGTGCGCGTCCGAGATCTTCAGCTTATCTTACCTTAGGCTCCATGTACCCATATAGTACATACTTAGGCCTTAAAGTACCTATATGGAGACCTCTTTAAGGCTAAAGTATCTACTATAAGGGTACATGGAGCCTTTGGGCTTCAGCCAGATTCAGAGTTTGCTTTTCAAGCCGATCGTAGGGTTTATATAGGGTTCAGCGACTTAAGGGTTTAAAGGGATTGAACTGAAGTTGTCGAAGGTTGATGGCTTCAAAGTTCCAATGTAAAAGGCTTGGGGTGCAAAGGGTTTAAGTAGAGATTGACAGCTTCGGGACTTGACGGTCTAGGCTTTCGGGTGTCTCTGCAGTAGTCCCGACAGCCTAGCCCATACTACTCTAGCTTCGTTGGGTCTTCATGGCACCAGTGAACTGGGATCCCCAGCAGTGCAAGTACTTGTGATAGCGCACTGATGACTTCCTACGCATTGACATCGAGCTAGAATGCACTTACCCTAAGGGTCCAGGTATCTCCTTAGGAGGGTCCAGCATCTCCTAGGGTGATCCCTTGGGTCTCTTTGGGGTCTCAGAAATCCTACTTTTTCGATGTTCCCTAAAGTGTTAGGACCCTTAGGGTACCCAACATGTAACATGCTTTAGTATTGGTGTCGGATCGTTAGGCGGCTACAACCTTCTTCTGAGAGCGGGTTGCTGAGATGAATGTCCGGTTTCTCCTGTTGTCATTGCTTAGACAGAAGTGTGACATTGAGCAAGCACGGGCTTGAGACTTATCTAGGTATGTCCGAGTAGTTAACCAACAGAGAATGGAGACTGCCAACAGAAACGATAAAACAACTCATGGATCTACTATCACTATGATTGTGGTCTTCCAGACAACAGGCTCCAGAAGCACGAGCATGGATCCATCACCTCTCTGGAGAAAGGCTGACCAGAGAACGATATGTCGAACTGGTTGGCAAGGATCCACTGAATGGCCTAGATCAGGTTGCTTCATACCGTGAGTGGATACCACGAAAGCTTGCTGGGAGATTAAAGGAGCCTGAAAAGCAGGGGCCCTATACCCTTATCCTATGAGTCCTTATTGTGGTAACTAATGGCTTATGATTAGGGTAGTATGTAAGTTGCCCTTCAGAGCTTCAGCGTAAGGTGGGGCCAAAAGCCGCAAGCCCCAAACCTTCTGCAGATAGAGTTCTAGCCCAGCGTAGACCCTGTGTAATCTTCAAAAAGACCCAGACCTGAGCAACATGATAGAGCAGAATTTGGCGTGTAGGGTCTAGCGCACACACGCTGAACACCACGTCTCTGTACATCCGCCACCCAATCCTGAGAATTGCAATATGACATCGCGAACAGCTTGGATCTAGTGTTGGACCCGCCAGAAACACCCGCAACAAAATTACTCAGCACCAAAACCTATATCCGACAGCTCCATCCAACAACCCTATAAACCCTAACCCTCAACCCTATATAAGCCCTACCCTTAAACCCTGAACCGATCCGAACATTCCACCATCCGTAAACCAGCAACCCTATAAACCCTAACCCTAAGCCCTGAACCCCACCCTTAAACCCTGAACCCTATAAGCCCTAAACCCCACCCCTACCATTAAACCCTGAATCCTAAACTCTAAACCCTAAGCCCTTATCCCCTTTGAACCCTGAACCCATGGGTCCAAGTACCTAATTATCGTATAATCTCCCAAAGAGTAACCTACATGACGATTATCGTAAACCTAAGTACCTGATTATTCGGTCCTTTGGGACCCGTAAACCCCGAACCCTGATCCCCTCCAGAAAACGCGGCTCAGGTCGGAAACCTGCAAGGCGCCCCGTGGAATTCAAAGAGGCGATGCAACAAAAAAGGGAGCATGCATACTTTGGGTGTGGGGTTTAGGGTTTAGAGTTTAGGGCGTGGGGTTTAGGGTTTGGGGTTTAGGGTTTAGGGTTTGGGGTTTAGGCCTAATGGATTCTGTACCAAAAGTTAAGAGTTCTATAAAGTTCGATTGCCCACAACAAGGACAATGCTTGGCTCGGGTTTGGGGTTTAGGGTTTAGGATCAAAGGACCTGTAACAAAAGTTAAGAGTTCTACAGGGGGCTGTTTGTGTCCGTAGTGTGATTTAAGGATTTTCCCCGGGGCTTGGGTATATTCTATTTCAAGATCTGGCTACTGCATGGGTTGTAGAACTCAGGTGGTTGAGGCTTTGGGGTTTAGGTCAGTCGGGCCCCTATCAGACCCTAAGCGTCCTAAGGACCTACATTCCTAGTCCTATATGATCGAATGTAGGCAATGTAGGGTTTCGGTATTCAGGTTTTAGGGTTTAAGGTTTAGTTTTTAGGGCTTAGGGTTCAGGGATTACAATTCTGATTTGGAGAAGGCATCCCCCATAAACAGTACCATAAGGATGCCTTAAAGGACCCTCAGCGGAACCCCGTAACAGAAACCTCAAAGGGGAAGTATCCCCCATAAGCGTACCTAGGGCCCTCTGGGCAGATGAAGATCCACTCGCAGACGCAGAGCCGACAAAGAAACGGGAATGGGTTATGACTTCATCAGTAGGGTCATACCCTTTCCCCGTTCTAGGTACCTCTTTTTTTCAGAGAACCTAGCCATAGACCTGGGTACCCGACAAAGGGCTAGGGTATGACCCTCTCGGCATAGTCCCTAACTTGATACGGCTCACAAGAGCCCAAATGCCCTATGTAGTTTGGTCTTTAGCAACAACATGAGTCTACTCACGCATCATAAACTTGTGACCTTCTGCCTTAGCCTTAATGCAGTTCTATGTGGGTACATCCTAAACCCTACACTAGGTTTTGCTACTGGGTCCCCTGCACCTCCAAACCTCGCAGCCCTAAGGCCCACATGAAGGAGCCTGCATAATTGGACTGAAGTTTTTGGGGATTGTTGCTCATAATTCCAAACTGAAACGCCTCGGAGAACCCTGAGAACCGAAAGAACACCTACCAATGAAGTCTGTCGCACTACTCAATAGTTTCCATGAAGGAACTCCAGGGAATCGCTTTTCTACTTATTGAACCCCCTGCATGAAGCCCGATCGAACCCAGCAAACCCCTGGTCATTTTTTGTGAACCCCAGGTTGGAACATGGATTAGGATGACTAGTTCGAGGATTCCTTATGCTGTAACTTAAGGGTATAAGAAATTATGTTCCAACTTTCTGGCTTCTACTGTAAACCCTGTTGAAACGCCGCAAGTTGTCCGGTCAGGCCTCGTGGGCAAAAGTCGAGCGTTTGGCGAAAGGATTGAGAGGACCTCCGGCAGTGCTCCAACAATTCAAGGATCTCTTTAGAGTTTGTTCAAGGGTTCTGTCGGGTTTACAGTTTTGGGATTTGGAGTCAAAGTGCACCCCCCAAGCTTGGGCCCAAGTACAACCTACTTTGAGTTGCGGGTTAAGGAATCAGGTTTTGGGTGTGGTTTGGAGTGTAGGGTTTGTGGTTTGGAGTGTATAGGCTTCAGGGTTTTGGGGTTTCAGGGTTGAAGTGTATGTGGATGCTTGGGTGGTCCTCAGGGCCTTTGCGTGTTTCCATGCTGGAGATTGTATTTAGTCGTGTCCTTGTAAGGTTAAGGGCTTCGAGTTTAGTTCAGGTTCTCACAAGCTGGTTTCAGGAAGTGGGCTTGTGAGTGCAGGACATTAAAGCCTACAGAAAGACGGACTTATGTTGAATGGGGTTTCGAAGGCCAAGGAACTGTGTGCGCATAGGATCCGAATCATGATCAGACTGTGGCAAACTGTTTCGGTTTCTGGGAGGCTGAGTTTATGGCTTTCGGGCAGACAGGGTTTAATGTCACTAGTGAGCATCAGAAGCTTCCCCAATTACAAGGGTCTGTGCACCCATGCTGTAGATACATTGGCTGCACTGGCTCTCTAAGACAATGTAGGAAGCCCTGTAAGGCTTAAGCCAAATCCTGAACCCCAAGTTCTAAACCCTAAACCGCCAAGCCTTGACAGCCAACGCCTTGTAGGCCGTGGTGTGAAGCTGCGGGACCTAAGACTGCTCACGGTGAAGGACTGGCTCGAGGTTTGGGGGTTTTCTTGAAATCGGAGCAGGCTGCACGATAGAATCCAGAAAGCTTGAACATGGACAAAGGATGGTTCTGCTCCTGTACCCGCTGTTCGGGTTAGGGAAGCCCCTGTTCCACTTTGCAGGCTTCTGCAGTGGTGTTTGGTGTTTTCTGAAAATCCTTGCAACCGGGATGATCCCAGCAGCTAGCATGTTGCATGTAGGTGTTATCGCTGTCATTCTCACATGGTTCAGTGCGGGAATTGAAGCTTCCCAGATGTTAGGGCAAGTTTGGCGTTTACGGCGGATCGGTATATTGCGCCTTTCAGAATTTCATGTACTTGCATTCATTGGGGGCCGCAACACTTAGACGAGGGTTTTGGAGTATACTGTCGCAGTAACATAGTGCTTATAGGCAACTGGAGCATCGTCATATAAACTCTAAACCCTAAACCCCCTAGACCCTAAACCCCTAAACCAGGGATTCTTCAGACGCCTGTATCGTGCCAGGAGCGCGAGAAGCTCCTCAAGGAGCACCTGGGCCATCCCTCTGGGGAGTTGCCTGCTTCGTCAGAGGGCAATGGCAAAAGGGAACCTCCGACCGTGCCGCTGGCTCCTTTGCCGCAAGATTTCAGGGTTGGCCGGCATCCTAAACCCCAAGCCAGGTCAGGGGCGAATTGAAGTCAAGTTGGACTCCGAGGCCCCATGCTAGATTGAATTGCCCAGATGTCGCTTTCGGCTTGAGATGGAAATGCGAAGGCATCCTCTTCGCGGAGTTTTATGTAAGAGCCGTACACCCTACCTTAAACCCTTGAAAACAGCAGCCCTAATGACTTCTAGTGAATTGCAAGATAAGGAACCCTGGCAAAACGTCCTCAAAGGGTCCAAGTATCATTATGGTATATGCTTATAGGGCTTTTTTTGGGGGGGGTTGAGTTTATACCATAATGATACTTGGACCCTTTGGGGTAGGGTCTTTTCGGGTTGAGGGAAAACCGAAGCCCAAATCCACGCTCTGAACCCTATAAGCCCTAAACCCCTGAGCCGACAAGCCCCGCTCCCCAAAACCCGCCCTCACATACTTCGGTTGATGATATAAATCCTGCATTACCGTAATGACCCTAAACTATGGGAATTATTGTATTTTCCTTATTATGGGTAATGCAGGATATAGATCATCAACCGTAGGTTCCCCAATAGTCCCGTTTATGTTAGGGTACCATGTTACAGTTGAACACTGGAAAAAGCGTAACCTTATTGTTCGGTGGACAGTGGGGAACCTAGTATAAGGATTGGTTGACATCTGCCAGGTCTGAGTTTCATAGCAGAACGGGAGCCCCTGAAACCTGCGACGATGCAGTCGTGCTTGGGGTTTTAGGGGTTTAGTGTTTATGCCTAAATGGGTTTAAGGGCTTGGAAGTCTAGGGGCTTCTTTTTCAAGTTTAGGAACCTGCAGCTTCGAGCAAATCTGAGCAACACAAACTGTTTTGTGTGCAATAGTTCTGTTTAAGATGCTTTCGAGAAGCATTGGGAAGCTTTCTGACTAGTAACAGCCCCTTAGTGAGAGGCATGGGCACTCAGAACTTCATGCCAGTTTCTGTTTGTTGGGAGACCCGGAAAAAGAGCAAGCCCTACAAAGCCCTATAAACCCTACAAACCTCGTAAACGTCGAAACCCTAGATCCCGAACCCTACAAGCACTACACCAAGCAAGGCTGAAAGACCCAAACCTTCTTCACACGCTTAAGAAGTTTAAAGTTCCTCAAAGCCCGAAAACCCACCCATAAATCTCCCCCAAACCCTGCAACGCCTCAACCCCTAAACCCGATTTCCCCATTCACCTGAGGCCTCGGCATGTCCCACGGACCTGGACACCTTCATCCAGCAACCTGGAGTCTATTGCTTTATGGTTTAGGGGTTTGGGGGCTTTAGGGTTTACAGCCAAGGGGTTCACAGCGATTGGAGATGTATGTTTAGTCCTTCCAGTGTAGCACTAGTAATTGGGGCCTCAATGATGAATTAGACTAGATTTTTGCAGTTCATGATATTATCAATAAGGGGCCCAACAGAGGATGCTGCTATAATTCAGGCTTCGACAGTAGGGCCTTAAGGGTTTAGGGTTTGGCATTTTGGGCTTTAGGGCATGCCTAGAGTAACCCAGGTAGCTGTAACCAGGGAATTGTGCATGTGCTATATTTTCGGGTCATGACCTGTTTTACAGGTACATTGGTTACCCTACTTTCTGGCGTTTGTGCTGAGGGTTCATGGCCTGACGCCTTTGCCTCGAAGGTAACCTCTTCTATGGTCGCGACTCTATAATAAGAAGCTCAGGGTAGGTGTTGCATTTTAGGGTCTTGGTATGGCAACCAAGCCGCGCAGAAGCCCTGCGTAAGTTTTTCGGAAGAGCAACTTGAAAGCCTGCCTCTTTCGCAGAGCTCAGGTGGCTGTGCGAACAGCTCTGGCTTGCTCGAATCCAGCGCCTGAGCACGCCTGAGAGGCCGGCATGAACAAATGCTCGCCCTACATGCCGCATGCGAGGGTGTCCAGGGAGTTATTTCTCCGGCCGTGGCAACGAGAGTTAGGGGTCGATGAGTCAGGGGAGTGAGTAGGGGCAAGTTCGTGAGTAGGACCTACAGGGCATTACAAGATCGCAAATCTTAAGGCATCATTGCGCTGAACATGTGGAGGTGTAGTGTATGTATATATACACATTATGCATATGTATGTATGCATGCATGTATGCATGTATGCATGCATGTATGTATGTATGTATGTATGTGTGTATTTATGTATGTATGTATGTATGTATGTATGTATGTATACATGTATACATGTATACATGTACACATGTATACATGTATACATGTATACATGTATGTATGTATACAGTACATACATACATGCATACATACATACGTACATACATACAGACATTATGGACCTCGGAGAACATGCATGGTTGTAGCATGGCGACCGTTGTTACATCTGCCATAAATTGCAAGCAAGCCGGCCTGCTCCACCCTTGGCAGCAGGTACACAGGCTTGCATGGAGCATTGTGCATACTGCAGCACACTGCGCATAAGTGTATTCGGATGTTTGTATACTGAAGCTTCTGCACTTGGTAACATTCGAATGACATGCTCGAAGAGAATATGTGCAGCCCCTTTTAGGGGTTCGGGTACTGATACAAATATCGATAACTGCTGTCAGACATATTATGCATGCAGCTCATACAATGCGGAGTCATGCCCAGTAGTTTGCTGAGCCACCGGAACACTATGGAGCGTAAGCAAGCCTGGAAAGTCGAAGAGATGAAAGGCTTGGTTATTATATTCTGCAAAATAGCTGCAGACGTGCACAGTCCTTCAATGTCTGATCGCTGGAAGATCGGCTTCGCCAGACAGCTAACATTGACGGTTCGGACACAAATCCCAACATACATGCCGCCTCATGTGCGTTTAACTTCAAAGGCCATCCCAGGCCTTATATCGTATCCAAAGCACGGACACAGGAAAGCGACCTATCCTAGCCCGTCTGTGCTTTGTTGTCGAAGTTCTGTGGTTGAACGCATTGGCGGCTCTGGAACGGGAGGGAGCTGTTAGATTGGCCATACTGGGGTAAATCTCAGGCACTATAAGCCTGGACGATAAAAAGAATGCTCCACTCCGCATGGTAGGTTCTAAGCTTTTCATACGCCTTGGCCTCTCTGCGATAGAGAAGCTTTGATCAAAAAACACTTCAGGCCACCCGAAACCCCAAAGCCTAAATCCAAAGCCCAAATCCGTGAAGCTTTACACCCCCAAGCTCTGCGAAGTCCGACAGATTTATCCTTAGGGTGAGGAATGCTTAGTAATACTACTCTTTGCAGGGCTTCCGGAGACTTAGTGTATTCCCCCCCCCCCCCCCCTGTCCCCTCAACTCAGTATTAAGGCTCCTACATTAGTGTACACAGGGCCTCGCGTGTCTAGGAAAAGGCTGCTAGATCCTTGGAAGCCTAGCATTAAGGCTGTAAGCCAGGGGCCTTAATAATGAGACTTGGGTGTTAGCTGATATCCTACTCCAGCTAATCATGATAGGGACAATGGGCAGTATTTACTATATTGCTAATCACTTCCAACCCCTTATATGGGTAGTTGTCAAAATTATGGTCCCTTTTTGGCTACCCTAAATATTACTGTAGGTGCCGTATTATATTAAGGACCCAAAAAGGGACCCTAATTCTGACAACCACCCCTATATCAACTAAAACATCCGCTTGTGTCCAGGCGTATAGGACGGAAGCGACCTCAGCAGGTGCGGCGGGTGAAGGTTTCAGATCTTGGGATGTAGGGTTTAGGGTTAATTGTAGCCCGTCGCCCAAAGGGCCCGAATGCTGCAAGATGTGGGTCCAAGGAGTTCGGGAGTCGATATCTTTAGGGTTTTCGGCATGATGGGTTGGGATCCGGAGTTCAAGGATTAGGGTTGGGATCCAAAGGATTAGGCTTAAGGGTTCATGGTTCATGGGTATATGGGGCACATTGTGCATATTCAGGCTGCCTGTGGCTGAGTGATCTCAGTTCTCAGCCCCCTTAGGATGCGACCTGGGCTGCGAAAGCTTCAGAATGGTCTTTTCGCATAGGTGGTTGTCAAACTTATGGTCCCTTTTTCGGTGCCGTACTACACCAGGGACCCTAAGGGACCGTAATTTTGACAACAACCCGCATGGACGTGTTCAGGTTCCCGGTGCCCTCAAGAGTCTGTCAAACACCAACTCTAAATCTGAAAAATTGGCTTTCAGGCACTAAACCCTAAACCCTGAACCTTAAAGCCTAAACCCTAAGCCCTAAACCCTAATAAGCCCCAACGACCGAAGGAGTTGGGGGCTTAGGGGATTGTATTTTTTGTGTTTTTATTTTGGATTTTCATTGTGTATTCACGATTTGAGATTACCTGGGTATACCGCAACCCAAGCCCGAACCCACCCCAGGATGGGAAGGCTGACAACCTTCAGTTCCGGAGTAGCATCCTTTTGCCCTTTTTAGTTTGGGGTCTCCCTTGTTAAAAAACCGAAACAGGGTACCCTTGTAAGGGTCCGAGTACCTCATAAACAGATACTCTTACAATTACCAAGCTACAAAGCCACTATCCCACACGCAAGTGCCCAAGTACTAGATCCTTTGGGACTTTTATGGACATAGCCACCCTAAACCCTTTAACTCTAAATAAACCCTTAAGCCATCTTAAACCCTAAACCCTTACGCCCCTGAGCCCTCAAACGCCTAAACCCCAAAACCCCAAACCCTTAAACTCTAAACCTCGACCCCCCGTATAACCCTAAGCTCCTAATCCCTGAAACCCTAAACTCCTAAACCCCTGAGCCCTGATCCCGTACACCCTAAACCCTACACCCCTCAGCCCTAAACCCATGAACCCCTAAATCCCTAAGCCCATAAGTAGACGCTAAACCCCTAAACGCAGGCCGGCAGGCCTCAGAAAACCCTCTCGGCGCGGGTGGGCGGAGGCTTCATCTACGAAACCTTCCAGGCCCATAACATAAGGGTCACCGCAAGGGGTTTAGGGTTTGGAGGTTTTCGATTATGGTGAGAGTTACTGTTGAGGGTGTAGGAAGGCTTGCTATAAAGTCTACTCTAGTGGTTACATAGGTCTTACAGTTTCTAGAAGGGTTACTAAATAGATTGCTAGAAAGGTTACGGTAAGGGGTTTAGAGGGATCCTGGGGAGCCAGGCAGCCAAATCGTAGGGTTTAGGTTCCAGATACTGTATTCTGCGGGGTATTCGGAACCTAAACTTTTCGGGTACGCGTACCCGCTGGGATATACACCGAGTGTAGCAAGGGTACTGCAGGGGTGCCATAAGGCTTTAAAGATCGTGTCAAGGGTTTCATGAGGGTGCTTTTTCAGGCTTGCTCAGCGGCTTGCTGTAAGGATTCTGTATCAGGTTGCTACTATAGGGGCCTAAATAATTACCCATACTATCTTGGGGGGTTCGGTTCCTTATAGTAATTGTAGTATCATGGGCCCCAACACCCTATTCTAATGATTTCGGCCCCTATATTAGAAGGGTTACTTGAAGGGTTCCGTCCTATGAAGTTGGCCTTAAGGGTTCTACGGTTTTTGTATCTGGTGAAGGAGTACCGTACTTGAGTTGCTTTTTAGGGCCTGTTCCTCAAAGGAGCCATGTGGAGCTACAAAGTTTGTACTTGTTCATCCTGGTTACTTCAAAGTCCAGGTAATGTATATAGGAGACCGATACATGTTCGATGGGTACCACGCTTAGGATTTGGACGTCGCGGTTTAGGGTTTGGAAGGATTACATCGCGTTTTGGAAAAGCCAGCAAGCAAGTCTTCGAGCAAAACCTTCAGCCTGAACTCTAGTATCTCGCAATGTTAACCTAATGAATCCCACTCCCCAGCGCTCTAAACGCTCAGCCCTGACCGCATTGTGCCCAGCCCTCCCACCCTGGCGAGTTCCAAGAGCGGCAAGGCTCCGGGGCCTGACGGCATTCCCGGCAAGGCTCTGTCTGCATTTCCGGCGGCCCTTCTCCGGCACATCTTGCCGTTAGTGCTGAAGCTCTGCCTTTTGGGGGAGGAAGGGAGAGGTCTTATGCACCCTGTATAAGCAGTGCGGTGCCAGGGATGTGTGCGGCCCATATCGCGCAATTATGTTGCTCTCCACACTGGCCGAGGCCGTGCACAGGGCCCTGCGACCCAAGCTTTACACACATGACAGCCAAGCACCTTCCACCATGCTTGGGCGCCGGAAAGGCACCTCCGTCGTGTTTGGCAGCCACATTCCACTATGGGCTATTAGACCTTATGCGTACCTTAATCTACCCTTAATAGGGTCCGAATAGGGATCTTTAGGGTCTAATAGCCCATAGTGGTTGTCCAAAGCTTTTGCAAAAGCGCCCTTTGCTTCTTCCTTCTGCCAGCTCCTAGCAGACAATGCAATGGTCGAAATTATTTACAAAGCAGTCGCCTCACATCTAGCTAATCGTGTAATTTACGGCTAATCGTGTAATCTACCCAAAACCAATACGCATCTAAGCCTCGAAGATATCCCATATCAGAAAAAAGCTGGAAATCCTAGTATACACGATATGGGTGCTTGATCTGACTGGTATATAAGCAGTTTGTTTTGTTTTTGGGGCAACTGGTTTAGCATATAAAGTTTAACTCTCGGTAGTGGCCCCCAAGCCTAGGCACTTGCACGCATGCAATCGGAACACCCCAAGCCCTCAACCCCAAAACCCTAAGCACCCAAGACCCACACCGTCAATTCCACATGAAGCCTGTCTAAGCACAGCGTAGTAGCCCATGTAATGTCGAAACCCTCAGGAACCCCTATGACCGATCCCGTATAAAGGAACACTTTTAAAGGCGAAAAGGAGGGACCCTTAATGGGGACCCCCACCCTATAATGGGCTCTATAATGCATATATGGTAGCTATATTAAGGGTATATACCTAGGGGTCCTTATTAAGGGTCCCTCCTTTTACCCTTGGACACTTATAGAAGCCTGTAGCACCTGCAAAGGAACCCTTGCCCAGAATCTGTCCAACTATAAAGATAATAATAAAATAAAATATAATAACAGAAATAATAATAATAGTAATAATCGTGTAATAATAATCTGTCCAACTAGCAAGGCTCTAGGCCCCAATGGTCATGCAGACTACAGCTTTTTGGATATGGGTGGTTGTCAAAATTAGGGTCCCTTTTTGGGTCCCTATTCTAATACGGCACCTAATATTTAGGGTACCCAACAAGGGACCATAATTTTGACAACCCCCCTATAGTAAACCCACCCATTCGGGCACTTGGTTTGCAGGGACAATCAATGGAAGGCCCTGGAATCCTAAACCCTGCACGAGCCCTGAAAGACACCCGCAAGGCGCCAGCCGACTTCGAGGAGGTGACACCAGCGTTTCAGGTTCAGAGTCTACCTAGTGGGTTTAGGGTTTATAGGGTCATACCCTGTTTGTTATGGTACGTTGGTCACTCTAGGTAGGGGTTGGTATTGCGAGGCCAAAAACCCACCATCCTAAGCCCTAAACCCTCAAGCCCCAAGCTCGTTTCGCCCTATGAGGAACGCCTTGCCCTACACCCTGAAATGGAAAACTCTGAGACTCTGAGACTCTCTGCACCTTGTCAGGGACGTCTTAAATGAGCTGCGAGTTCCCATCCCTGTTCCTCAGCGACTCTCTGGTCATGAAGATCTTGTTAAGTGTTTTTGTAGAAGCCAAAAAGTTGGAAACCCAATAGCCTCAGTTCTTAAGAGTAATGTATAGGGAATCCCAGCACTATTCGGCCTTAATCGGGTTTCCAACTTTATGGGGTTTACTGTAAGGAGACATGAAAACAAAGTGTAAGGGGGCACCATGAGTGGACCCTAAACCGTGATCCCTAAAATCCTGCTCTTCTCTGCACGCGCAACCTGTAAACCCTAAACGCCAAAACCGTAAACTTGCCCACCATGCCGACCCTAAACCTTCTTGTAGAACCCTGAAGTTAGCCTGTTGAAACCCTCAGTTCGAAAACTATCAAACTGCTAAGCCCCCCAGCCCTGAAGCAGCAAAACGAAGTCCGAAACGGATCACCGAATCAACCACAAGATCAATCTCAAAGGGTCCTAGGTACATTCCCAGATTAGCAAGTATAATGGTTTAAGGAAGTATCCCCCACAGCAGTACATGGGACCCTTTGGGAATGAAGGAGCCTCATAGCCCAGCGGCAGCGAGCGGACCCTCGAGAAGGATGGGCAGGGTTTCGGGTTTTAGGGTTTGGAGTTTTGGGTTTAGGGGGTTTGGATCTTGGATTTAGGGTTTTTGTTGAGGGGTTTGGTGTTTAGGAGCGTTCTGGTTTCAGGGAGTTCAGGTTGTTGAGAGGGTTCTTAGGTGACGGGTTTAGGACTCTGTTTCGTTGCTTTGGGGTTTGTAATATAGGGCTTTAATAGGGCTTTGCAGTTTGACTTTCTAGAGTTTAGGGCCCTTAGGGGTTAGCAGCTGTTACAGTTTATGAATTAGTTGTGTATGCAACTCCTTAAGGGTTTCTAGGTTAGGGTTTCGAGTGTTGCTGCCATGTGTTTGATGTCTGTGCAGGATTTATACGTGCTAGTACGCTTGATACAGAGAACATACAGCATGTTATACACTCCCCGTTCAGGCAATTTTCGGGTGTTGTCAATCAAGACCCACTGCCAGTTTGGTCCAGCTACGGGCAACGAAGGGCACAACAAGCTGGATCAGAGCGCTTTGCACCATTTGGCATGTTTCCATGCCCCGGCTACTCGAGAGAAGAGAGAACGTAAATGGCCGAAGCCTCATGCTCAAGCCCCCGAAGCCCTAAACCCTAACCCCCGTACTGTGTTTCTGCCCAGGCGCACGCCAACTCCGCAGGTGCCCAGTGGTTAAGGCTTAAGCATTTTCGGGGTTTCCAAACAAGTTGGGTTCAGGGAGAAGGCGTGGGATTCGCTTTTCAGAATACAAACACAACCACACAGATCCTGGTTTTTCGGTGCACATAGACACTAGAGCAGCTGCTGATGTGAGCCCGAAAAGCCAATGGACATAGGGTTTGGGGGTATATTCTACCATAATTGTATTAAGGAACCACCAAAATAGTGCAGGCGATAATTAAGGCCTCTAGTGCGATGATGAGCCACCACGGTTTTGGCGACATGGGTGCTGCAGTCCCATAAGCTCTTGTCCCACAAGGTTGCTTACATCTGCAGGGCTTCAGGGACTCCGAAACAGCATTCAGCCCACCGGACACCTCTGAAGCCGATCGCGAGGATCCCGCATAGACCCTAAAAAGCGAAAGTGCCACCGCCACCTCCACCAGCACCACCACAACGGCTACATCAATAGCAGCAGGAACAGCAACAACAACAGCAGCGCCTCTGAACCCCGAAATGCCAAAGACCCTTAACTTATATTGAAGTCGAGTTCCCAAAAACTTAACCTTGCGCCGGCAAATAGCCCTTCGCTCACAGATCCCAGTACCCATCAAGTAACACATGTCTGTACCTTAAATCATCGAGGGCTTAAGAATACTCTTATGTATATACAGCATGTGCCTCATTTAAGGGGTATTGGGCTCTGGGGCAAAGCAACGCAGCTCTGAAGGTCCGGAATTGGGAGTGCGACAGAACCATCTCCGCTCGTGTCGGCGGAGGCTTCATCTACAAGACGTTCCAGGCCGATCCCGTATGCACGCAGGAGTACCGCAAGGGCTACTTGAAGGGCTCCATTACTGTACCATAAGGGCTACTTTAAGGGTTAGCAGATTGTTCTATCAGGATGGCAATATGTGTATACATTGTTATATATGTGTTTATATATATATATATATATATACGCATATATATATATATATATATACGTATATACAAGGCGTACTGTAGTGTTCTGTTCAGGGACTCTGAGTAGATGGCTTGGAGCTTAGGGTTCTCTTTGAGGGGTTGCGCAGTCTTTTGGGCCGACAAATAATCCTCAAGACTCAAGTCCCCACCCCAAATCAAGAATCCCAAAGTGTTTAAACAAATTGTTTAAGCCTTGAAACTTCTAGTCACCAAGCCCCGACAGCTCTGACCTTTCATGGTAGAACCATAGTTTTACCCATTAGCCCTCAAACCTCAACAGGTCCAGGCCCCACTCCTTAAAGGATAGTTGCCCTTTACATCTTCCTGACGCCGGTTTGCCCTCATTCTCATCAAATCCAAATAGGAGTTTCCGAAAATTCGGGGTACCTTATTTTGGTGTCCTTATGATAAGGATCCTACTATTTAGGGTGTTATATTAGGGTCCCCTATTTTCGGAAACTCCCAACTTCTCAATAGCACACCGTAAGACGTAACACCCAAGCCTTCGACTCCAAAACCCTAAACCGCAACGATCACCGTAAGGGTCCAAAGGACCCAAGAATCAGGTACTTGGGTTTAGGATAGTAGTTTTGTAGCTCACTATATTTGGGAGAGTATATGATAATTTGGTACTTGGACCCGTAGTGTCATAGCACCAAACCCTCCATGCCCTGGGCGCCAAACCCCATGCTGTACAGCCCTCCATTCCTTAACCCTCAATTGCTTCAGCCGTCTCAGTGTGCACAGTGTCTTGGGTGTAGAGGGTCTGGGAGAATCAGGGTTGTACTAAGAGTACAAATACACGAACAGTAAGGTTTTAGGTACCAAAAACTATTCAAAGTGTTGTGTTGGCAGTACTGGGCACTTGGATCCTGAGGAGGGCGATTGCCACAACGGCAAAGACGATGGTGACCTCAAGAGGCCATCCTTTTAGATTTTGGGGACGCGGCTTTACGAGGGTTCTTGGAATTGGGGTTTTGGACATCCCCAAACCCTTATCTTTAAACTCTAACTCCTAAGAACCCGAAACCCTCAACCTGGGGTTTCGGACATTCCCAAACCCTAGCAGTAGAGTAGGTCAGAAAGGTTAACGTTTAGTTACCCATGATACCCGACAAGTAGGAAACCCCAAGCCCTTTTTGTTACTTTACGGGCAACCCCAAAGAATCGACCTGTTCAAGGATAACGAAATTATGGTAAGGAGCCCTTGACAGGTAGGTTTTTGTGGTCTGGGTAGGGTTGCTCGAGTTCCGGGTTTGAGTTTTCAATTTAGCCCTGCAGGGTATTCAGGTTGTTGGAGTGTAGTTTGGGGTTTTGTGTGTGGGTAGCCTGGCTTTTATGTTGACATCGGAGATGCTGCATGTGCTGAGGTTTTGTCGGTTTAATAGGGTCTTCCGGGGTTCAAGAGGGGTAGCAGCCGTTTAATGTTCTATGTTGTCCTTGGCGCCCAAGACCCAAATCCCCACTGAGAGACGTTCACAGATTTCGTGTGGCCTCTTGTTTTGTGAGCTGCTTCCAAGCGACGAAAGCCATAAACCCAAACCCAAGGACCCAGGCTTTCTTCAAAACCTGGGGTAAGTAGGGTGGAGCTCGATCTATAAGTAAGAGAACTCCTATTGTGATAGTATAAAGAAGCCTGAGAAGCTGCTTATGACTTTAATCTGTCCCCCAACCCGATTCTTGTTTCTGAGGCCCCTTGTCTCAGCCATCATAGCTCCACTCGTTAAGTCCTCTAAGCCGGAAAGTCAATCGATTTAGGTTTTAGGGGCCTTAATAATTACCTATACTGTTTTGGGTGTTCCTTATTCTAACTCCACGTTTCTGGGCCCCAAAAGGGTATTCTAATTGTTGCCCTAAGGGTCCTAACACCTTAGGGAACCTCAAAATGTAGGATTTCAAAGACCCCAAAGGGACCCAAGGGCTCTCCCTGGGAGATGCCGGGCCCTCCCAAGGAGATACCTGGACCCCTAGGGTAAGGCTTTTATAGTAGGTCTAGGCTTCGTCGGGCCATGGGTCGGTGGGCTGAGCCTTTGTGGTACCCAAAGGGTCCTTGGCACTGTTATGGGGGATACTTCCCCAAATCATACTAGCACTTCCTCATATAGAAACCCTACATTCTACTATAAAGGTACTTTGGACCCTTTGGGGTATGATCCCGTACAGCTATTGCAGAACGAACAGGAACCTACAGAAAGTAGCTTTGTGATGGTGTAAGGCGACTCTTAGACCTTAACCCCCTAAGCCCTGAACCACTAAAGCTCAAAACCGTATGACCGTAGCTGGGAAACTCTTTGCACCAGAGGGCTTCCTCAAGAAGTAACCGTTGTTGGATGTAGGTTTCCGTGATTCTAATGTTAGAAGCAAATCAGGAGTCGCTACAACAGCTCAGTAGGGCTTAATTGTGTCCGAAAAACACTTACTGTTTTTTTTGGGACTCCTCATTATGCTTTCGATGTATTATAGTTCCTACTTTAGGTCTTTCGGGCCACAGGTAAGGCCATATTGAATTGGCTTTTTGGGTTTCAAGGTTCAGACGGTGCAGGTGTAATCCTTGGGCTTGGCAGATATGCTTAGGCTACAAGCTAAAGGATCAAAGTATCAATGACCGGAATAGTTCAACCTGAAACCCAAAATCCCAGAACCGTAAACCCTAAACCCGAAACCGTTAATACTTGCATCCCGCAGTAAGGAAGCTTGCGAAAGGAACTGGGCTTGCTGCAGCTTTCTGCTCAAGAATTCGCTGTAGTTCGCTGCTCTCCCCTTGGATCTTTTGGCAGGACGGTGAGCCCTCAAGCCCAAGCGCACCTTTACCCCCAAAACTTTATATGGCCTTTGGGGCACGCTTCCTGTAGTCTGAATTGTAGTTCCTTTTTGGGGTTACCTTGCGGGGTCCTGAATATATAATAACTGGTTAAACCAAAAAAGGAACTACAATGGAGACCATAGGTAAGATTAGTCCGAAGTAAGACTGGAGCTTGAAGCATGAAGCCCGCGCATCTTCAAGAGGAGCTAGAAAGCTCCAAGTAGCAGCCATAGCAATCCCTACTATAGGGGTTGGGGTTTAGGGTTAGGGTTTGGGAGGTATATTATACTATATAGTTGTAAAGGCCCCTACATTACACCACCGCAATGTCATTGGCTTGGGAGAGAGCGGCCGTGTTTCTAGCCGAGACGCAGCTGGGTGGGTCCAGGAACTCCCGGCCTGATTATGTGAGTACGACTTCCCAAAGCAGGTTTGATTTAATCTAGGAGTCTTCATAATTGCCTCTACTATTTTTGGGGGTTCTTTCTTGCATTTTATAATACAGTGGGCCCTATTCTAATTATTAAGGCTATATTATGTGAGTAGGACTTCGTTGAGGAGGTTTGATTTAGGGTGTTTTGAGTTAGGACTTAGGGCCTTAGGGCTTAGGGTTTCGGGGCTCCGTGTAAGCCCGAAACACACAGCTCGCGGCTAAGGTCCGGATGATATCGGACGGGAGAGTTTCAGAGGGTCTTCATAAATCGAGCCTAAATTTGAGCTGTAAACCCCAAGCTGACGATGATCCCGACTCCGACTTCAACCGACGTACCTCGACACCTCCACACCGCCACCCAACACGAGACCACAAGCGCTCCTAAAGCGTCTCAAAACCTTCAGGACCAAATGACCCTTAAAAAGCAGGGGCCCCATAATATAGGGTTTAGGGTTTAGGGTTTAGGGTTTAGCTGCCTAAATAAATACCCATATTCGAACTAATGCTGTTATACTATGACTCCCTATCTGGCATATGCACCTTAAACCCTTTTAGGGTTCGTTTCGCTAAAACAGAATATCAAGACAAAGGGTACCCTGATAATCAAGAGGACACTGGGTAACCTAGATGAGTCATGGAAAACGGTACTAAATGCCAAGACCTGCTTTTGTGTTCTTCCTTTACGGGTTTCTGGAGTACCATGCTAGAATACTTTTGTTTTGTGTGTGTCCCCCAAAAGAACTGTAATGCAATAACAGTTTATACGTCTTACTCCTTGCTTACTTCAAAGCCCAGTTCAAGGGAAGTCGCCGAAGGCTCGCTTCAAAGGCTCTCTTAAGCCTCTCAAGAATCTGCGCACTCTGATTCCCGAAGGCCCCCTCAGTGCTCATTTATAGGACATGCTTTGGCCTCAATGTAGTCCCGCTCAGGGCTCATTTATATGATAGACTTTGGCCTTAATATGAAGTCCCGCGGTCCCTGTTAAGGCCACGTATGTGCCATGTGGGTACATTGACCCTTAGGGGCCTTTCTGGCTTTGTATAATTGAACCTGAAATCCCTAAAGTTAAAGCTCTAAGCCCTCCCATGTACACCCTAGCCAGGTTCGATGAGCGGACGCTCTGCACGGCAATCAGCGACTCCGTGCAAAGCAAGCATTCGAGCCCTCTACCCCGAGACGAGGGTCTTAATACTTAGTAATAGAACCGACTTATAGTCCCTAACGGATATATATATATATGTATGCATATGTATGCATTATAATATGTCCCAAAACTCTTTTCTGATTGTAAAGGCTCCTGTATTAGCCACATGGGGTCCCCCACCGCAGACCCGAATGGCAAGGCTGTTTGCAGTCGTTGCCAAGGTTTGTTGTGTCTGCCATGCTGTCATACAGAAGCAGTCTTCCCCTGTCCATCGATCCTTCTGCAACTTGCCCGCCACCGAAGCCCCGAAAGCCCTAGACCAAAACCCCTGAACCGTTCTTCGGTTGGTTTTAGCGCAGTCTTTGCATTCTCAAGTTAAGGTGTATATTGCCTCAGCAAGGGATATTCAAAGATCTATGAATCTCAGCTACAGAGATTATAGTGGTCTCCGCATGCACGACTCTTCGGGCTTTCGGGTTTTGGGGCGCTTCATGGATTTGAGACTTTGGGTTTGTGCTTAGGGTCAGGGTTTGGGGTCTATGGAGGCTTAGGGTCAGAGCACTAATTCCGGGGTTTTTAGGGTTTAGGGTTTAGGGAGCACGAGCTTGGCATGTTCATCGTGCTGGCAGTCTTGCGACCCGCAGTGTACGAAACTGTTTTCAGGCTCGAAAATCCCTCAAACTTGCTTCGTCGTCGAATCGGTCTTCTTGATGCGCATGCAGCACACCCTGAGACCTTCGGAATCTGTTCCTGCTCGCAGAGAAGCGATAACCTACCAAATCAACCACAAAAAACCTATCCTCATTGGTTCCATAAGAGGCAGTTTATTTGGGGTTACCCTCGGACGCCAAACAGCCCAAAATAGGTCCTGTTTATTCACTTTAGACTTCAGAGAAGGTACTACTGTTGATGATACAAATCCTGCATTACCTTAAGGACCCTAAACTATGAGAATTATGGTATATTCCTTATTATGGGTCATGCAGGATTTATACCATCAACCGTATGTGCAGACTTGGAGTCTCCAGGGAACCCTAAACTCGATACCCAAAACCCTGCAACTCTCATGTCCCTATATAAGCTTAGTAGCTGAGTGGATACACTTTACACTTTTGGGGATAATATTGCCCACTATCAAACTGAAAGTGTATACTTTTGGTGGCTTATATGAACTCAGCAACTAAGTAAGTCCTTAGGAGCTGACGGTCTCATCTTAAAGAGCAGCCCAGGTCGCGCCCCTACGCGGCAGTGGGAGCTTGTGCTTGAGTCGCTGGTCACGTTGGGCAAGCCGAGCGACGCTTAGGCTTTAGTGTACAGACAAAAAATGCATCATGTGGAATACCACTCCTAAAATGGTTCTACATGGTACGTACGCCATGGCATCCGTACCCCGAAACCGTGTTCTAAATGTTGTGGCCCGTATATTATTGCTTTGAGTTTTGGTTGGCCCACCCTGTGACTGAACCCCGATATGACGGTAACACAAGGGTCGGACTAGTTAGCAATACTATCCGCGTAAAGTCCCTGCTAGAAGCTATAAGTCTACTAATCATCTGCACTAAATCTCGAAAATCTCACTCTAATGGTCTAAAACTCCTTTCACTAACATACTACAAGTCAGGTCTTAACTACAAATGACAATCCCTAACCAAAGCGCCCTAGGTAGTGTTATTTGGGGATACTTCCCCAAATAATGATACAGTAGTAATTCCTTAAATCGACTTACATGTTTTCATACAATCAGTTACTTAGGGCCCTTTGGGCGAATGTAGACCCCTGATTCAAACAGGGCCCTAGTAGCAATTGTAGCATCCCTACTGTTTTCAACCAGCATAATAGCTTTAAACGTGGGGTGTTTAAAAGTCGGGATCTGCATTCTTATGTGCTGACAAGCCTTAGGACTTGTGATCTGATTTTGTTCGGGAGTGGCGCTAGTGCGTGTAGGGCAGTCTCCGCAGGGACACCCATCAGTGTACATCTCGCATTTGCAATGATATGGTTTGGACTCTTACATTGAAAAGTTGGTACGAGGTTGCCAAGCAAGAACAAAGCATAGTTGTCAAACAAGAACAAAGCATAGGATCCCCTGGACCTGAAAGCCTCAACCGGCTGGTTGCAAACTGGACGGTGCGAGGGTTCCATGCAACAGCAATGGTTGTGTTCCGAGGTCTGCTGGAAACCTAGGCCGTAAAACGCCTTCTTATGCCCGCTTAGGTTTCATAACTGCGAACCTAGATATGAAGCCCTTATTCACTTCTGTAGATAGAGCCCGAAGCCCCTCTTACAGTAAAACCTCACACTGAAGCCACCATCTAAACTCCGAAACCTTTCTCACTGTAAGCCCCCCAAAACCCGAAAGCCGCTGAGAACCTGGACTCCGAAACCCCTCTTACCACAAACCCTTACCTAAACCCTAACCGCTAAACCCCAAAGCAGCTGATAAACTCTGAAACCCCTCTTACTACAATCCGTTACCTAAACCCTAAACCCTAAACTCCTAAACCCTAAATCGAATTATGAACCCCAAAGCTGCTTGTCCGACATCCTTCTTGTTCTGAGCTTCAAAGCTCCCAAACTTCTCTAAACCTAGAGAGAGCCCCTGAAACGGCTGCGGGATTTCCGGCAAGGACTGTCGGCTGACCGTGTTCTCGTACACCGCTGGGATTTCGGTCTGCGAAATCCTAGGGGCTAAACTTGAGGTTTCTAGGGTTTCGGATTGAGAGTTCAGGGTTTATTAGTTCAGGGTCTGCCCTTAGGGTCCAAGTATTTTCTCTGTTTGAGAAGAATTTGTGTATGATCAATGCTGGAATTCCATGCACTTTACCCCAAGGGCACGAGATTCATGATGTTCCAACATTTTGGCTTTCACTTTACTATTTGCGTATTTGGATCGTTTAGGTCACAGATCTACAGTGAACACCATAAGGTTGGATGTTCCTGCTTTTGACATGTATTTAAAAGGGAATAGCATTTGTTATTTCAGTTTAAGACTTATAAGGTGAACTAGAAGTAGGGGCCTTTGGTTAGGTGTGGTGAATTTTAAGCATGTTTTGGATCGGTAAAATCTTTGAATCTTGTTTTGGATTTCCCTTCAGTGCTTCGTGGAGGTGGGTTGTTCTGGGGCTCAACAGACATGTAGAGCGTATCTTCAGGGCACCCTTTTGCAGTCTTCATCCCAAGTGCGCAACTCAAGCCATGGTTTGGCAAGGGTGCTTATGATGGGGTTCCCTTGGCTCTGAAGCTCAAGACCAACGCCGCACGAAGGCTCCTGGGGGCCAGATACCCAGGTATGGACAGCACATGATTCAATGACTTTCCCTTCAACAGTTCCAGCTGTTATCACCATGGGATATCTCGCAACAACTCATAGCAACTCTTTCGTATTGCTTGTTTATTTCAGGAGTTTCCAAAAAGTAACGGAGCCACAAATCGAATTGGATTTTGCTGTGTCGGGTGACCGGCCGGATCCCTATCACTGTTGACGCACTTCACATCCCGGAAGCGAGGATGGGCCATTTCCAGAAGAGCGGGCACTGGCTGCTGGCCGTCGAGCTCATGTCCCTGATGCTCGGATATCTAATTTCCTCAGTGCCCTCAGTAGTACTCTTATTGTATCCCTGGTCTCTTTTGGGTTCCCGTACTAAAACCAAACAGTAGGAACAAGGGTACCTACCGTACCTACCCTCTTTCTCGAGGGTTATTGGGGAACTTAGGTTTAAGCTATGTCTTGCAATGTCGCATTTGCATGCCATTTTGACATGCTGCTTGCTCCTCACAACTGCGATAACCCCTACACCCCCGCAGCCCTCAACCCTAAGCCCGAACCCCGAATCTCCAAACTAAGCCCTAAACCGCTAAACCCGAAACCCCTATAGGAAACTCCAGAAAGTCGGAATATGGTTTCATGGTAGGATACCCTATAACTTACCATAGAAGGGTTAGGATAATCATATTCCAACTTTCTGGCTGTTACCTTAAAGTCGGAAGCTTAGGATGGCTTGGGCCCGGGTCGTGGCCAATGAGCTGAGTCTAAACACAGGCAGCTCGGAAGTTAAATTAACCCTGCGGGTTTCGGTAGTTTAAGGCCTATTTCTTATAACCCTAAACTCAATGGAGTTTACTAGGGTTTCGGGATTTTAGGGTTTAGAGGATTAGTGCGCAGGTTTAAGGGTTAAGTTATAAGGCTTTAGGAGTTTAAGGGTTTCGGCATTTGAGGGTGTAGGGGTGTAGGGTTTTCGGGAGTGGGGTTTCGGCTTAGGTTGCAGGGCTTCTGGTAAAGCCTCCAGTTACAAGGAGCATATAAGGGCTTAAGGGCTCTGTGAAGCCTGTAGTGGTATCGATTGGGTTTGGGGGTGCAAGGGATTAGGGTAGAAACCTTGCTACTCGACATAATCTTTTTCAAGTGCACGGTTACAAGCAGTGTCCTGGCTACCGGCAAGGGGCCAAGGTCAAGAATTGCTGACAGTATGCATCGTCAGTTGCGTCTTTAGCTCTACAGTGCAGGTGTCAGATACTGTTGATGCCCAAAATCCTGCATGACGTAGATCGTCGCACATATCTCACGTCGCACTGTCCAGTTCCCCGTAACCCCTTAATCTCAACGTTGCACCGCCATGGGGTCATGCAGGATTTTGGGCATTCCCACAGGCCTTGGTTTTAATGCCTGCATCCATGCAAGGTTGAAATTAGGGGTGGCAGAGAGCCGTGGGATTTTTGAAAGTCATGCAGGATTTTGGACATCAGCCGTACTACAATGTAAGGTGTATATATTCCTTAATTAGGAGATTTTGGAAGATGTGGGCATGTAGGTCTCCATCCCCGAGATCGTCGTTATGCTACGCTATCGTCTAAACCCAAAACTCTAAACCCTATCCCCAAACCCTAAACCCCAAACGCTGCAAACCCTCTAAACCCTATAAGCCCTAAACCCTGAACTCATTCAGGCATCAGCGCCTTCGGCAGCGCTGTGCTATGGCATCATGCTCTCCATCTCCTCGCTTGTTTCCCTGCAGCCAAACTACGATCCGATGTGATCTCCTTCAATGCCACTTAGTAGCTGAGTTTGTAAGCTTTGAGCTCTCGAGTCGTATGTATATATATATATACACATATGTATATAGATATGTTTCCATATAAATATACATATACATTTACAGTATCCGTATGTATATATACACCCACACACACACACTTGCTGTTTATGAGAGTGAAGGCATAAACCTTCCGGGGCTTTTGAACTGGGCAACTAAGGCCACCACTACTGCATGCGAGAAGGGGACCGAATGGAGCAGGTCCTTCGACCTTCAATCATATCTCCGGGGCCATCCTGTCCGACCCGATGTGATCAGCTTCTCAGTTAAAGTTCCTGAGTAGTGCCCTTTCGCCCGTTTTGGTTTGGGGTCTCCTGATTAAAACTCAGTTTTCGGAAAAAGGGTACCCGTTTTAATTATTAAGAGGTTTCTGGGGAACCTAGTAGTAGTGCCTTAAAGACGAACTGAATCCTAAAATTTTGTGGTTCATATATCATATAGGGGTTCATAGTATTAGGGTATATAGGGCCCCTGCTTCTCAGGGTCATGTGGTCCTTAACAGTTATAGCTTGTTGGGACATTATCATCCCTAAGTGATCCCAATGGTAAAAAACAGTGATTCTAGGAAACTGGACAAATTAGGCTTCAATGCCACCATCGCTGCGGCTGCAAAACCTGGTCTATGGAGGTCAGGTCTACAACTCCTCTCTAAGATGCTGGGTTCTTGTTAAGAAGTTTCATTTGAGTTACTATGATAGGATCTATAGTAGATAGCATGGTTTCCTTATTGTGGTACCTTAAATCGAACCCCTTACTAAGAACCCAGGATGACAAGACAACGGACACCTCCTAGCATCGTCACTGTCAATTCCGTCCTCAGTGCCGGGCACGGAGGAAAAGAGTGGGGAGCTGTCCTCTGGCTGCTGTCAACCATGCCCGCCAGGCCCGAGTAAGGGGTTTGGGGGTTTAGGGTTTAGGGGTTTGGGGGTTTAGGGTTTGGGGGTTTATGGTTCAGGGGTTAGGGGTTTGGGGGGTTAGGGTTTAGGGGTTTAGGGTTCAGGGGTTTCGGGTTTGGGGTTTAGGTTTGATACTAGCGGTTGAATTCCTGCTGTGTCACGTGTCTGTGGCAATACATCCTCGGCTGCAGATATGTATGTACACTTGGAAGTTGTGGGCGTGCATACGGTGTTTGAGGAGGTGCCCCATTGCAAACGGGTTCCCTGCCAGGAGAATGGCGATTGACCGCATCGGCCTCAATGCAGCCCTCAGTGCCTGCGCAGCCTGTGCGAAGTGGCAGATTGCTCTTCACCTTCTGTCAGGAGTCTCAGCTGCGTAGGGCACCTGAAGCTCAAGACGTAAATACACACATTCATACGTACATACATACAGACCTGGGCACACATACCTACATACATATGTACATACATGCATACATGCTTACGTACCCACATGTATGTATGTGTGTATGTATGGATGTATGTATGTATGTATGTATGATGTATGTATGTGTGTATTCAGGGCATGAGCTTGCAGTGTCACGTTGTGACTGCAAGTTTGTCTGCTACTTTGAAGGAATGCCTGCCCAGTCAATCTTGCCGGATGTTGTCTCCATCAGTGCGGCCACTTAGAAAGCCAATGGTAGAAGTTGAAAACTTATTGGCCTTATGAAACTTGTCCTATCTTACAAAGCTTGAACTGTTTGGGGCCCGGCTATTGAAGAAGAGAGGCCATGCTGGCGTGCGTAGAAGGCGGGTGTTGGACAACTGCCCTCCATCTCTTCGCGGACATGCCTTTCCTGACATCGACGCCAGATGTCCTGAGCTCAATGATTGGTAACATGGTTCTAGGGTTTGGGGAGCATTTTAATTGGGGCATGGGCTGATTGCTTCTGCTGTGTCACGCCACAGGTGTTGAATGACTAAGTTTCAAGATCGCTCCAAAGGCGAAAATGAAATCACGGAGCACCACAATGTACCAGTAAACCTTGAGCCCCTTTTCCCAGTAGAGCACCTCCGCCCCTGAACCCACAAACCACTATCATCAAACCATAGAAGTAGCATGTCAAGCGGTCGAAGCTGAGCCGCATTCCCGACCCAGAGTCTGTCCAAGACGGCTTAAGGAAGAGTGGAAGAAGGAGTCCAGAGCCTCCAAAACCCCTTAATAAAGGAGTATACCCTAAATCATATTAAGGATCCTACTATGATTTAAGGTATACGCCTTAATTAAAGGATTTTGGAAGGTCTGGGAGTATAACCCTAAGCCCCAAACTCTAAACCGTCGTCTAGGGGACTGTAAGCGATCCACTCTCCCACGCCCCCCCCTCCCCTTGAACCGCCACCAAGCGACTAAAGCACGCGCCACATGTATCCATTGCTCCCTCAGGGTCCATGTGCTTTGAAACGGTTCCTGTAAGGGTTCTACAAGGGTACTACAAGGGTTTAGGGTAGAAGGGTCCGTTTATGCATATATCATATACTGTGGCCTTAATGTAACCCCTAGAGATTACAATGTACTTTAGGGACCAGGTCCATACTATATGTGGGCACGTGAACCCTTAGGGGCGTCTAAGAGCCTTGCACCCAAGCCCCTCAAGAACAACGTCGACAACCCTGCAACACATCCCTCCCCAAAAAGCCCACTTACCCTAGGTTGGGGTAGTGATCTGCACTTCCCAAAGCATACGCAGAAGCTAGAACAGAATGCATGCTTGCAAAGCCCTAGGAAGCCAGCAACACCCCTCCATACCCCTCAGCGAAGGAGCTTTGCAGCCCTAGGTGTGCACAGTACAAGACTGCTCCCCCCTGAGGCTTCGGCCTACACCACGGCCATCTCGGCGTCGGAGGTTGGAGGCATGTGGACAATGGCAGTTCAGCTTTTGGCAGAGATGGTTGGATGTAACTTGCCCTCACAGCCCTAACGGCACGGACGCCGAAGCCAGGAAGAACGAACTCTGTAAGTGGCAGTGTTGTTGCAAAAACGTGAACACAGAAGCCTACAGAGTTGCGAATGTTGTTCACAGACTTCCTTTCTATTCTTGTGGCATAATATTCCCCGGGGGCCGAAACCCCGTTCGAATATGAGACCCGTGAATCTTAGAGCCCTTGCAGTAACCTTTCAGGAGCCCTTTTACAGGAACCCATGTTTAAATATTAACGTCCCTATACTGAAACCCTGAAAGCATCCCTCAGTTGCTTTTCGAGGAGCCCTGAAAGGACCCGCGAAACCTTGCTCATAAGCCCGATTCAACATAAACGTCATCAACATCCCCTTACAGCTCCTATACAGTCGCACTACAACAGAGCCCAAAGTGCTATTCTTGCCAATCTGGTCGTTATTGTAGGGGTTTGGGGTCTCGAGGATCCCTCTCTGTTGTCGCTCTCTGAGGCAGCTTAGTCCCGGATACCGCTGCCTGCAGTGCCAGTATCAGTGCCTGTGAGCAAGGGGGCCAGTGGCAGGCAGCTGCCCGGCGCTGCTACAGTTTTGGGGCGTAGGTAGACCCTTAAGCTCTGTTGGGAGATGTACATTTAAAATCCTACTCTGTCTAGGACCTAGAGTAGGCCCTTATTGCCTTTTTACGGCTTCAGGTTCCCTTATAAGCCGCTTTAAACCAAAAAGAGCACCTTTTTACTCCTAGCTTACTCTTGGGTCTAGCTGTACTTAAGAGTAAAGACTAATTAGGATACTCAGCCCCTAAGGTCCGTCGGTCCTTCCCTCTCCCCCAAACCATGGCTGTCTGTCTGTACACTTTTGTCTGACTCACTCGGTAGGTCGCTGTCTAGCGCTGTGGCACATGTCGTCTACGTATGGAGCTAAGAAGCGGGATTGGTTGTCGATGCTTCAGAGTCCAAGTTTAGACCGAACCCCAGTCCTCCATGTACCTATCTGGTATATTCTTTGACCCTGATAAAGGGTCCTCTTTTGTAACTTTGGACCAATGTATATACTGAACGAAGCGTCGAGTTTATCGTTTAGGTAATCCGAAAATCGATACCACCGACTGTTTGAAGATTTGCACGCTTTATGCAGGTAGCAGGAATATTCAGTTGCTGTGCTTCCTAACTCTAGGGCTCTTGGGGAATGCAGTTCGTTCGTTTTTGGGCTCATGGTTTCTTGCAAAGTTGTGTTACACATGAAACGAAAACTAGCCACGGAAACACTTGGGTACCCTTGTAGTAGGGTTTTCAAGGTACCAATACAGTTAAGACTACTACAGCATTTGCGGCGAAATCCTGGTGTTTAGGTGCCCAAGTACGCTTCGATTGTAGTGTTTGGGAACCGTGGAGGATCCTTATAGCCACACATATAGGGACCCTACTATGTTGGTACTTGTCCGGAAACCTTGATGGCAGCGTTGCCTTCATCCTAATTCAGTTTTGGGGTTCAGGGTTTAGGGTCTAGGGCATGTTGTAAGTACTTACACTTTACATTAAGGACCACATGACTCTTAAAAGCTGCGGCCCTCTACCCTAATGCTGTGGTTCAGTATATGGTATACATATTTGGGGGCTAGCTTGCCAAGGCTCTCCACCTCCTCAGTGGCATGCCGGCCCTGACGGCTCAGCCCAATGTGCTGCTCGTCTGGTACTACTTGGGGAATTGGGGAATGAACCTCCAAGTAGGTAGGCTTTTGGGACATTTTCTGTTTTCCCCTATTTGCCTTAAGTGGATCCTATTTGCGATTCTCAAGGCTTTAAAGGGCCGGGTACATGGAGCGGCAAAGACCTCTTCACATTGAAGCACCGTGAGGCTATTCAAAGCCCCTTAAGCCCTCAGAACCACAAAGCCCCAAGTTCCAGGATGTAAACTCTGAACACCTGAAAACCTAAAGCCCGTTGTACTCCATAAAGCTTCAATTCAAAGCCCACATCCCCAAGTTTAGCAGACACGCTTGAACTCGAATCCCTAAACTCTTCACACCGAAAACCTCAACTGGCAGCAGAATCTGAGGATCAGCTACAGTGCGACCATCAGCGCCTGTGCCAAAGGCCGCCCCGTCCCTGTCCCGAACCCGCAGGGTCCAAGCAACTGATAATCATACTCTCCCAAATACTCATCTACATATTAACATCCGAAGCCAAATTCCCCAACTACTTTGTCCTTTGGATTCTTTTGGTACTGGTAAGACTTGAAAGCCGCTGAGGTTTCCACTCGGGTGGTTTAGGGCCTTAGGGTTTAGTGTTTTTGGGGTTTGGGGTGTAGGATGCTTGTTGAGGAAGGTAACTATTTCATAAAATAAAGTTACCAAGTGAGCCCGATCGACCCTATAGGTAAGCCCCGTTGACCCCGAGTTCAGCCTAATCCCAATACTCCTCGACACACCAAGTAGTGGACCGTATAGACCCCGAAACTTAGACCCCGGAGACCGCATTCTTACAGGTAGCCCCGTGTTGACATCGATGTAGGCTCTAACTACATGCCTGGATCCCCAACGCTCAGCAAAGACATCCATCTATCGCCGTCATGAGCCATGAGCCTTGTCTAAGTAGCCCCAGGATCCCTAGGATGCATGTAGCATGTCACTTTTGTCGGGATGCGAATTTTCGGAGCCTTGACGCAGATATGGAAGAAGTTTCTGGGGTTTGGTGCGGTTGATGATATAACCCCTGCATGACCCATGATGAGGATTATTATACCATAAGTCCCAGAGTCTAGGGTCAGTAAGGTAAGGCAGGATTTAGATCATAGAACGAGGAGCTCGAAGGACTCCTATTCTGATTGCCAACGCCCATATGCAAAACCCCTCAAAACAACTTCTAAGGAACCCTAAACATATAAAAACTGAAGGAACCCTAACCCCTAAACTTGCATGGAAGCCGAAACCTCAAACCCTAACCCCTTCATGATGCTACTGTGTTTTTGGGCCGGGTGAAGTCGAAGCGAGAAGGACGATGGGGATCGGATACAGCCGCATTTGTTTGATAAGGGGGTTCAGGGTTTTGGGCATTGGCTTTCCGATCTAGGATCTAGGGTCAAGGTTTAGGGTCTATTGCTGCAGGGGTTCGAGGTCTAAACCTTCGGAGTTCAGGGTTTAGGGGTACTTGCATTGAAGGTATATTCCTCAACTAAGGTATATTGCAAGATGTGGGTAGAGGTTGTACTGCAAGGAACGAAACTTTCTTGGTCGCGCAAACCTAGGAAGCTGCGGACCCGTTTTTTTGAATTGGTGTTTTTCGTTCTAGGTTTTTGGAATTATGGTGCAGGCTCGAGGTATTAGGGTTTAGGTGTTTAGGATGCAGCATTTAGGTGTTAAGAGGTCGTTAAGCTGGGCCAAGCCGAAACTCGAAGCCACCAGGCAGGCATTGGACGCTAGCTCTGGCCCTCCTCTCCGAGATGGAGAAGCGTGCTGTTCGGGCTAACGACGTCAGCTACAATGCCGCCATCAGTGCTGTAGACGCTCTCTCTGGATGGTTGGGTGGAGGATCATGAGTAGGAGACTGAGCAGTCGGGCTAAGGTGTAGACTTTAGGATGCATACCTCTGGTTGCTGCAATCCTACTTGACTCCAGAGCCTTTGAGTATCAAGTAGAAGCCAGAGCATTGGAACATCATTATCCTCACACCCTTAAGGCAACTTATAGGGAATCCCAACACTATTTTATCCGGAACCGAAATGAACTTTTTTCCGGAGCCCATGTTCCAACTTGTTGGTTTTTACTGTAGAGGGAAGCTGGAAATACATGCTGCTGGAACTATAAGGATCAGCATCCTTCTGGTGATATGGGCTACCTAGACAACCCGTAAACAAAGACATTACCTTATATAGTCGGTGCATTTCTCTTTCTTGAAGTACCTCAGTTACCCTAGGTAAGGCTTAGGAAGATCGAAGTACATGCTGCTGGAACTACTTACCTTTGGTTAGTACATAGATAGTGAACGGGGGAACTTTAAACTTTTTGGCATTATATATTAGCTCTATCTTGGAAAGTTTGAACTTTTCCGGGCCCGGTTGTTGAAGAAGAGAGAGTAGGGAATGGAGGAATGGGGGTACAATTATAGCTACTATTACTACCAGTCTTCCATTCCCTACTAACCAAAGGTAAGACTAGGGGCCTTCGTAATTACCTATACTCTTCCGTAGGGTTTCCTTTAAAGGAGTCTATAAGGGATACTATAAGGGATACTGTAAGACTATAAGCATCAGGATCCTTCCGGTGATATGGGCTGCCTAGACAAGCCGATGTACCTTGAAAGGCAGGACATGAACCTAACACGTCGTTTTCCTGTCTCTTTTGAAGATACCTTGGTTACCCAAGGTAAGGCATAGGAGTAATAATTTGCTTTCTGTGTTTGGAGTGAACCTGGGTGCACATCAAACCTTGGTTGGCATCGCCTCGTTCCCGAAAGAGCTGGAAAGTCTTGTGGTCGCGCCCTTGCCGAACCTGAAACCCTGAGCCCAAGAACACCATATAGTAGGTACTTAGGCCTTACGCGGGTCCCTATATAGGTGCATTAAGGGCTAAGTACCTACTATATGGGAACATGGAGAATTTGGGAAACCCTGAGCCCAACAACACCCTTTGTAAGGTAGCCTGCAACCAACCGAATCCTCTGGCACAGAATCCCCATAAAGAAGCTGTCCAGACGTCACAAATGCCGTCTCAGACAAAAAGCCTGCAACCGAATTGTAGTGTTTTGTGTCAGGCCCAAACAAAACCCAAACGAGCCCTCGAAGACAAAATCTCATCCCTAGCCGCCTTTGAGACCCAAAAACCCGAGTCTCAGACCCTTCATCACACCCCTCATGAGCCCGTAGACCCTGAGTACGCACATGTTCATGACTCATTCCCTTGACTTCGAATCCTCACCTCGAGCGTGCAACTATATTACCCTATAGTGGCTTTTGGGTTCAGGGTTTACGGTTAAGGGTGTAGAAGCCATAGCCCTAAACCCTTGAGTGGCAAATCACTTCCTTGCACCCGAAATCCGTAAACCCGAGAACCCCGAAAGAACGCATACCGTACCCGCAACATCCTACCTATTTAAGGACCTTTATCGCGAAATCAGAACCAGCAGCCCTGAACATGCAGGTTTTGTAGGCAACTGAAATCTCTTTTAGACATTCAACTTCATATCCCTAAACCGTTAAACCCTAAGCCTTATATGGGAGTTTGGGAAATGGGGGGGTACCGTATTCTACTAAGGATCCTGCAATCTAGGCTACTATATTAGGAACCCCTACTTCGGAAGGCCCCATATGGGTGATTGTCAAAATGATGGTTCCTTTTGGGGTACACTAAATATTAGGTGCCGTATTATATTAAGGACCCAAAAAGGAACCCTAATTTTGACAACCACCCATATCCCGTATAGACAAAGGACAAGACTCCTCACTGGCAAGTGGCTCTTGAACTCCTCTCGGCCATGCCGAAGTCTGAGGCCTCGGGGCAAAAATGGTTCGTGGAGAGCATATGTACGTATATATATATATATATATGTTTATTTTTTATTTATATGGTGTATATATATATATATGTATATGTATACACATATATATATATATATATATACACGTACATCTAATATACATATACGTACATAGATACATACGCACACACATACAACCATACATACATAAATACATACAGGCGTGTCCATATCTATCTGTCTTCACATATACATTTCACGGACACTTTCTGTATGTAAATACATACACGCACATAGATAATAGATATAGTCACACGATTTGTTTCCTCATCTACTACATGTTGAGTTAGTTGGTTGTTGAGTTGTTTAGTTTGTTTTGAGCTGGTTTGTTTGTTTATCCATGTATGTGTATATGTGTTTCTTTATGAACCAGTGAGTATAGATACCTGTAAATATAGATACAGTTATAGATATAGAGCGTACTTACACACGGCAGAAATGCGCATGCGGCAAACGACATGTGTTTGTCTATGTGTGTGTATATATGTATATATACATATATACACATATACTTTACATGTTATATATATATATACATATATATATATATGTATATAGATATACATGTATATACATATATACACACACACGCACTATGGACATACGCAGCATGGACAGCCAATGAACAAATATGGCTAAGAAGGTTAGAGTTCGTTTACGAGTTGGCACTTTCCCGTATACTGTATATTTGGGTTTAGGGCTTTCCTAAACCCCCCAGCAACTCTCTGAAGGCCAGGCCCAATGTGATTAGTTTCACAGCGGCCCTGGGTGCCTGCTCTGCTGCCAGCTGCTGGGATGTGGCTTTACACCTGCTGGCGCAGATGCAGCGACATGTCTAGAATGCTTTGGGTTCACAGTTTAAGGGGTGAGTTTTTCGTTTCAGTTAGGAGGTGTTTGGAAGTTTTTCGGGTTGAGGCTTTAGGGCTACTTCTTATCGTTTCAGATGGGAATCTTGATCTCGAACAACAGCCAGAAGCATCAGGAAAATCGCCAACCTGTTCCTACTATGTAGTATGTCGCGTGAAGACAGCTGCTAATCCCTGTATGACACTTTAAATTGAAGCGTACGAACCCTAGACCAGTAACACCCGAAACGCCAAATTGATTAACCCTGATCGAACTACCCATTTAGGAGCCATCAATAACATGTTATAGAAGCCTGAATATTTACCAATACTACTCCTCGATTACTTCAGTATTCCCCAAGGCTCCTATATTATTCTATGAATCTGGTCCTCCTCAGGACCAAAGACCTGAGGTGGAGGGAAACGGACATGAGGCTTCGAACATCTAGGGAGTTGGTCAACGAATAGGTGCATGCTCGAAACAACATGAAGTCAGAGTGGCCAAACCCTACTACACCTTAAACTGCCCCATGCCCTAAACCCTTGAACTTTTAACCCTGAAACCCTCAACCCTCAACTCTTGCTGGTCGGTCCTGTTTCGAGGCACTGCCCCTGATTGACTTTTTTGCCCTTCAATCAGCTGCACTGCCTCACCCCCCAGTCTACGATTCCCGTGTGAAACCATGTACCTGTGTGTTTGTGGGTGTGAGCGCGCCTGTATACGTACATATGTGTATACATATATACATATATAATGTACACAAATAGAAGAAGTGTGTGTGTGTGTGTGAGAGAGAGCTAGAGAGAGAGATTGTGACAGGGAGAGAGGCCCCAACCAGGCACCTACATACTAAGCATATACCGGTACATGAACAAAGGTGTCCGAAACATAGGACTCAGGACCGGCAGGCTGACTCAGAGGCTAATTCAAAGAGTTTCAACAGATTCGCCAGACGGAGCACCAGGAACCGGGATCTTCACATCGACTTCGATCCTACCACAGCATGGTAAGCAACGTCTGTCTCGCGTTTGTTCACCATCATCGTCATCACCGATACAGTCCCAAAATAGCAGTCATCTCTCCAGGTCTCAGCACGTCGAGCCCAACGCCTTAACGGTGCATGCAGCCATCGCTGCTTGCGATGCCGTGTGCCGGTGGCAAGTGGCGCTGGAGCTGCTTGCAGGTGCTTTCACCGCATACTAGAGAAGCCTAGATAGTTACCCATGTTATTCCTTAGGGCCTCTTCTTAAACAAAATACCATAAAGGAGTGCAAAGCCTTGTTCGAGTTATTAAGGCCTGTAAAGTGATCAATGACCCTGTCAGACCCGGGTTTTTGTGAAATTTAGAACTCCATATATATATATATATATATAGAACCCCGAACAAAATCAAGGCCCCTGAACGCAATGCTTCAATGGTAATGTGACACCATAAGGGACCCGAAAGCCTGTACGTGCTGAACCCTGATTCCCAAACCCTGAATCTTAATTACCCTGAACCCTAAGGGTCCGAAGGACCCGAGAATTAGGTACTTGGGTTTAGGATAGTAGCTATGTAGGTTACTATTTTGGAGGGTATATGATAATTAGGTACTTGGACCCTTAGGGTAAAGAACCTTACCTCTCCAGGCATAAGCCCGTCGACGATGGGCTCGGGGCGCTTTGCCGCGAGCTGCGCGGTGGCTGCGGCCGAGCGAAGCTGGGTTCCCGCGATGTTTCCGTCGAGAGCTCTTTGAAGGGATCTATCAGGGAGCCATAGGGGAGCCTATAAGTGTTTGGTTTAGGGTTTTAGTAGGGTATAATTGGGTTAGGTTCCAAGCTCCTTACCAGGGATTCCCTAACGGCTCCTTTGAAGGGCTCCTTAGCGCAATTCCTAGGAAGGGTTGCTAAAACTTGAAGGGTTCCGAGACACGGCTCCTGTACAGATCCGTAAAGGCTCCTAAATATTACAGGGTTTAGGGTTTAGGTCTAAATTAACCTGGAATAACCTACCTTTTAATAAGGGCTTCGACACGGAAATCTGTCTAAGGAACCCTAAGCGGGGTAGGTTATTCATGGTTAAGGTGGGGTTCGTGAAATTGCTTCCTCAAGACAGAAGGGTTCCTCAGAAGTGTTCCTATCCGTCCTTCACGGGTTCTGTAAGCGATCCTGAAGGTGTTCAGGTGTTCCTATACGGGCTCCTTACACTGTTCGCTGGAAGGGGTCCCAATAAAGGACTAACCGTGTAATATTAGAAGGGTTTGTGTAAGCGATCCTCCATTCCTGTAGAGGGCTTGGGTTCGACAACATTCCTTGAGAACCCAATGCATCTTTAATTGTGGAATATTGCCTGAGTCGTATCTAGAAGTCCAGAAATACTGTATAATTGTGAACAAACTTATGTTATTAACCCCATTCGAACTATTCAGGCCCCGATATGAACCTAGGAAGCTCAGCCAGGCTGGGATGAGTTCGAGAAAGCTTCGCTATCCACTAGGCTATACAGTAGAAGCCTTAAAGTTGGAAACCCAATAGCCTCAATCCTTAAGAGTCATGTACAGGCAATCCCAGCACTATTTGGCCTTAATCCGGTTTCCAACTTTATGGGGTTTACTGTATGAAAAGTCTATCATGTCAGAGGGTGGGAACTTGTTATGTTGGGGTGTGAGCGGTTTTAGGGTTCCTTGTGATCGTCGGTTACCATCTGTCTGATTCTACTCCTAACACCGCCTCTAACACCCAACCCAAGAAGTGTGTTGCACATTTTCTCGATGCGTCGTGAGTAGTTGTTATGATAATTATAGTGTAACTACAACGTAGAACCCTACGGAGGAGTGTTGGTAAATTTCCAGGCTTCTACAATATCAGTCGTCAGGATTCTGCGACTTCTCCCCACCAGCGTGGGTTGCTGTAGGACCACCATCAGTGCTGCAGTTGCAAGGACGAAAAAGAGCTCGGGAATGCCACGGGTTTAAGGCTCACTGCTTGGGGTCAAGTTCAGGGCCCAAGCTTTTGATGTTGCAATGTCCTTTGGATCAGGGCTTGGGGTTTAGAGGTTTCGGGTTCGAGGTTTCCAGTTCCTCGCGACAACGAATCCCTGAACCTGGTAAGCCAGAGACCCTCAAACGCAAAACCCTGGGGTTCAGAGCCTGAGGATGTAATGGTATAGGGCTCAGGCCGCAACGTTTGCCTGCTTCGTCGGGTTTCTCCCCAAAGCGTCTGGCAAGAGAGTGGAGTCTTGCACGGTCCAGGGTTTAGGGCTGAGGGTTTAGGTTTAAGCTCACAGTACCGATAGGCTCGCACCTTACCCCCTTTTTAAGGTACCTACTTTTCTATATAGGAGATCCTAACCCTAAAACTAGGTAACCTAAAAAAGGGGTAGGGTATGACCCTCTAGGTAAGGTAAGGAAAGTACTTAGTCCTGAAGCAAACCAAAGTCTCATTTTCGTGAGAGCTGCCCGGATCTTGGCATTTTGTCTGTAGTATGAGAGCTTGCACACTTGGTAGCCCAAAGGCTCCATGTACCCATATAGCAAATACCTAGGCCTTAAAGTACCTATATAGGGACCCTCTTGAAGCCCAAGTACCTGCTAGATGGGCACATGGATCCTTAGGGTAGGGGAATGATGATACGGAACACAAAGGTAGCCTGCTTTTTTTTATCGGGCTCAGGGCATACGGTTTTTATCTGAGGGGACTACTGTAACTTAGGCATTACGGGCATGGAGCTGCGAAGTCTGTCTGTAAGGTTTAGGACGTTGCTGAGGGGTATAATTGAAGTTGCAATAAGAAGGAAGTTGTATTGTTTGCTATAGTTCCCTACTACGGCAACTTAAATTAAACTCCTTCACGAACCCCTGGGGGGTAACTGTTGACTGATTGGGGTTTCGGTGGCTTTGGGAGAGGTTTTGAAAGGCTTCGCACGAGGAGCTCGTAGAAGCCTTTGTTTGCTGATCGTCAAGGGGATCGCTCAGGCCCCAAAGTATTTCTTTTTGGGGTTCATATATAGAATTCTATAAGGTAACCCCAAAAAGGAACTACTTTGGGGCCTATGGGTAGGGTCTAGGATCGGCTATAGAACTGTGCGGACATGCCGCCGTGCAGGGACAAGTAGAGAGACACACTCTGAAGACTTTGTCCCAAACTCGAAGCCGCAAATCCTAAACGCTAAACCCTACAAGCCCCAAGCCGTAGAAACCCTAAGCGCTGAACCCTAAACCCAAATAAACCCTACGAGCCCCCAGCCGTAGACACCCTAAGCGCTGACCCCTGAACCCAAATTATTCGTTACTGGCCCCAGGCACACGGAGGATTCCCCCTTGGACTGTGTCCGGAAACGCGTGGAGGATAACGGCTGTTAGAGTGGTTCCGGCCCGGTAACTGGGATGCCCAGAAGTACCCTTATTCCCTTTTTGTGGTCCTAGGTTCCTTATAAAGTTACCCAAGACCAAAAAGGGAGCCCTTTTTATTCCTAGGTTATATACTGGGCATCCCAGGAAATTAAGATGAAATCATCTCCAGAAAAGATCAGGGCTTGAGGCTCATCTACCATATAGGGCTTCATAGTATGAGGGTACAGGGTCCATACTTTTGAGGGTCATTTGGTCCTTGAGGTAGGGTCCATGATGTTTAGGGTTCCGGGTTGAAGCTAGGGTTTTGGGTTCAGGGTTGGTAGGGTTCAGGTGCTACTTGCTGTTAAGGAGGTTTTTCGGGGTTTGTAGCGATTGTAGGCTTAGCATGTAAAGAGTACACACCCTGGGATGTAATGTGTTTTGCAGGGCTTATGCAGGGTTTAGTGTTCGCAGTGCTTAGAGTTGAGGGTTCGGGTGTAGCGCTTGTCTGCTGGATATCCAATGCTCGGCCTGGATGAATCTTACGATGACCTTGCGCCTAAACCCCGAAAAGTAAGTAGAATAATAGCCCAACACCTACAACAGGGCCATCCTTCTGCATACTTGTGGCTCCAGGTAAACGCCCCAGCGCTTCTGGCCTCAGGTGTTTTTGGCTTCGCTTTCCTAAAGTTTCCTAAGTTCCTATGTAGTAGAATTCTGGGGCTGCTACTGGGAATTACTGTTATGAATTGGGCAAGTATCGCCCATAACAGTACCTACTTGAAGGCTCATGGGACTTAGTAAGTAAGGTTATAAGTAGGGTATAATTAGCATAACCCCAATTAGGGGACTTATAACCCCAATTATAAACTACTTACTAAGTCCCATGATCCTCTAAGAAGGATCCTCTGGGCTCGCTTCGGGCTTCTCGGTGCTGTCAGGCCGCCCCGATCTGCAAAAACCTGCTGGAGGCGCTCTACCCAGACCCCCACAAGGATCTAGAAAGTAGATCCCTAATTTGGGGCCCTATACTACTAGGGGTACTTTATAGGAACCCCCACTAAGTGCCCATTAAAGGATCTACTATTTGGATCCTGACGGGGGCCTGGGTAGCTGATGAGTCTCATGGTTAGACCTAGTCAAGCGGCTCCTCACCGGCGGCGCCTTCGAGAAGGCCCACTATAGAACGGCTCGAAGTGGAGGAGCCCAGAAGGCTTGCGAGTGCGACCGTTTGTTCTTCTTTGAGCTCCTCGCATGCAACATGGACCTGCACGCGGATACATTGGTATCCTGGAGCAAGGGCATGGGAAAGGCCCAAAGGGTCCAAGTACCATTATGGTATATACTTATACCCCCAAAATACATAAGTATATACCATAATGATACTTGGACCCTTTGGGAGGAAGACCCTTTGCCTGTGAGGCCTGATTTGTCGACTCCTGCTGCCGAGCGTCGGGGCCACGAGCTCTACGACTCTACGGCATCGCTTCTTGGTGTTGCGAGCTGTCGAAGACCGCTTCCGATGCTTGGACACCAGAAAGATGAACATGATGAGTCTGACAGGGTTTAGGGTATAGGGTATATATGCAAACATGGCGAATGTTGTGTTCACAAACTCGGATTGCCGTTGTCTTATGATAGAACATACGTGTTTTTTTTTTAAAGAAGCGTGGAAGCCAAAACCCCAGCCTACCGGTACAGTCTAAACACCTCAACCCGCAGCCCTGAAATCCCATACAGCCTAAGTGTATGCGGCATCGGTCCTCTCCTGTTCCCGTGCCCTTGTGCCCTTGTGCCCTTGTGTCCTTGTGCCCTTGTGCCCTTGTGCCCTTGTGTCCTTGTGCCCTTGTGCCCTTCTGCCCTTCTGTCCTATGTATGTATGTATGCATGCATGCATGTATGTATGTATGTATGTATGTATGTATGTATGTATGTAGATATGCATACATGTGTATGTGTATATGTGTATATGTGTATTTGTGTTTATATGTGTATGTATGTTTGTATGTTTATATGTTTACATGTGTACATGTATATGCGTATATATGTATATACGTATATATGGAGTGTGGGGGGCATGCAATGGGTGTAGCGCCTCAAAGTTGCGCCGGTGCGCCGGTGCAGCGCATGCAACTCGGCTGCGCCGATGCACCAGTGCGCCGTTGCGCCGTTGGAGCACGGATGCGCCGATGTACCGGTGCGCCGGTGCGCCGACCCGCCACATGGATGCGCCATTGCGCCGGTGCACCGATGGGCCCGCCGCCACCAAGGATGCGCCATGGCGCCGACCGCGCTGGCTGCGCTGCCAACGTCGGCTGCGCCGGCTACGCCGCTTACGCCGCCTGCGCCGCCGTCGCCGCCTGCGGCGTTGCGCCGGCTGCGCCGCTTGCGCCGGCTGCGCAGCTTGTGGAGCCTTGGACTAATGCGGCCCCCTGATAAAATCAGAACTCTTACCACCCTTGAACTCCGAGGATGGAGCCTTGGACTGATGGGGCGCCCCTGATTTAAAAATCAGAACTCCTACCACCCTTGAACTCCGAGGATGGAGCCCTGGACTGATGGATCGCCCCTGATTTTAAAATCAGAACTCATTAGCACCCTTGAACTCCTAGGATGAAGCGTTAGCATGATGGGGCGGCCCTGATTTTAAAACCAGAAGTCTTGCAACCCTTGAACTCCGAAAAAAGGAGCCTTGGAATGATCGGGCGCCCCTGTTTTTAAGATGTGAACTCTTACCACCCTTGAACTCCGAGGATGGAGCCTCGGACTGATGGGGCGCCCCTGATTTTAAAATCAGAACTCTTACCACCCTTGAACTCCGACGATGGGGCCTCGGACTGATGGGGCGCCCCTGATTTCAAAATCAGAACTCTTACCACCCTTGAACTTCGAGGATGGAGCCTGGGACTGATGTGGAGCCTCTGATTTTAGAATCAGAACTTTTATCAGCCTTGAACTCCGAGGACGGAGCCTCGGACTGATATGAGGCGGCCCTGATTTTCAAACCAGAAGTCTTACCACCCTTGAACTCCGCCTTGGATTGATGGAGCGCCCCTGGTCTTCAATTGATAACTCTTATCACCCTTGAACTCCGAGGATGAAGCCTTGGCATGATGGGGCGCCCCTGATTTTATCAGAACTCTTTTCACCCTTGAACTTCGAGGATGGAGCCTCGGACTGATGGGGCGCCCCTGTTTCTAAAATCAGAACTCTTACCACCCCTGAACTCCGAGGATGGAGCCTCGGACTGATGGGGCGCCCTTGATTTTAAAATCAGAACTCGCACCACCCTTGGGCTCCGCGGATGGAGCCTTGGACTAATGCGGAGCCCCTGATTTTAAAATCAGAACTCGTGCCACCCTTGAACTCCGAAAAAGGAGCCTTGGAGTGATGGGGGGCCCCTGTTTTTTAAAATCAGAACTCTTGCCACCCCTGAACTCCGAGGATGGAGCCTCGGACTGATGGGGCGCCCTTGATTTTAAAATCAGAACTCTCACCACCCTTGAACTCCGAGGATGGAGCCCTGGACTAATGCGGAGCTCCTGATTTTAGAATCAGAACTTTTATCGCCCTTGAACTCCGAGGACGGAGCCTCGGACTGATGGGGCCTGATGGGGCGGCCCTGATTTTCAAACCAGAAGTCTCACCACCCTTGAACTCAGAGGATGGAGCCTCGGACTGATGGGGCGCCCCTGATTTCAAAATCAGAACTCAAACTCCGAGGATGGAGCCTCGGACTGATGGGGCGCCCCTGATTTCAAAGTCAGAACTCTCGCCACCCTTGAACTCTGCGGATGGAGCTTTGGACTCATGTGAAGCCCCTGATTTTAGAATCAGAACTCTTACCACCCTTGAACTCCGAGGACGGAGCCTCGGACTGATGGGGCGGACCTGACTTTAAAACCAGGAGTAGTGCCACCCTTGAACTCCGAGGATGGAGCCTTGGACTGATGGGGCGCCCCTGATATATTTATATGTGTATACGTGTATATGTGTATATGTGTATATGTGTATACGTGTATATGTGTATATGTGTATATGTGTATATGTGTATACGTGTATATGTGTATATGTGTATGTATGCATGCATGTGTATATATGTATATGTATAGAAACTATGTATATATGTAAATATGTGTATGTGTAATATACGTATATGTGTATATATGCATATATGTACATCTGTACTTTTGTATATGTATATATACAGATGTATATATATATATATATATATATATATATGTCTTTTACGTGTTTTATGTATATGTGTACATATGTATATATGTATACATGAGTATATTTGTAAATTTGTACATGTCTCTATGTGCATTAGCGCTCTTGTGCCCTTGTGCCCGTATGCCCGTATGGCCTTGTGCCCTTGTGCCCTTGCGCCCTTGCGCCCTTGCGCCCTTGGGCCCTTGTGCCCTTGTGCCCTTGTGCCCTTGTGCCCTTGTGCCCTTGTGCCCTTGCCGTGACCTTGCTGTGCCCTTGCCGTTCCCGTTCCGTGCCCTTGCCGTGCCCTTGCCGTGCCCTTGTGCCCTTGCGCCCTTGTGCCCGGGATCACTGGTGGACCTCTCTCGTGTATGCCGTCAACCTCAATTGCTTTGAATTCCTGAAGCGCTAAAGCCCAAAAAGGTCTGACCCTTTTGCCCTAAACGCTAAAAGCGTGATGCCTGACACCCCCAAAACCCTAAAACCCCAAAGCCCTAAACCCTAGACCTTAAAAACCCTATACCTATATCGGCAGTTGTCAAAATTAGGGTCCCTTTCTGGTTCCTTATTATAACACGGCACCTCATATTTAGGGTACCAAAAAAGGGACCCTAATTTTGACAACCACCCATGCAAGCCCCTAAACCCCAAAGCCGAAGCCTACATGGATCCAAGATCGGGGCAGGAGGCTGCAATCGCGGAAAGCGATCCCAAAAGCTTGGCAAGGCAGTTTAGGGTTTAGGGCGGGTTTAGGGTTGTAGGGTGGTTTAGGGTTTGCGGGTTCAGGGGTTTACGGTTTAGGGATTTAGGGTTTTGGAGTGGTTCAGGGTTTAGGGGTTCAGGGTTTTAGAGTTCTAGGGGTCATGCAAAGCCTGAACTAGTGCCAATACTATGCCTTGGTCCCTCATTATAATCTTTGATATCCCATTTCCTGTATAATAACTATCCTCGTTGAGGTCTCTTTAGTAAACGGTAAGGCTTGCGTAAGACCTTCACAGAATTACACAGTGGTTCCGTGGCACGAATATGTTTGATGATAAGACGGACCGAGTACACACACCAACTAATTAGACCCCAAAGCCTTATATAAGCCATAAGCCCTGGACCCTCACACCTCCAATCCCTGACCCAAGGGGAAAGGCTGTATGCAGTCTTTACAGAAGTGTACAGGAGTGCATTCGGGTTTTTCAGGGCTTTGTCGGGTTCTCTTTAAGGGTTTAGTCATTTGATTTCAGCGCTTTAAGGTTTAGTGTGTGTGTGTGTTGTGTGTGTGTGTGTCTGTGTGTGTGTGTGTGTTTTCGTCTTTTGGTGCCGCTTGGACTCGGGCTGATGGCCCACATATTGCTTACATTGGGGTTTGGTTCGGGTTTTCGGCGAAAGATCTCGAGTCTATAATCATGCAGACTGCATGACTGGAAAGGCTTGGGCAAGCCCGATGAAGTGTCCCTGCATGGCTGAACTTTGACGAGACGTCCGTGACTTACAGTCATCATGGTGCGAAAGGCCTTGTGGCGGTTACTCACAAACCGCAATTGATTGCACCAAGCTGCAACCGCGGTGGAAGTGTGACAAATGTGGCACTGCTGTCTGGTGTCTTACGGGCACATCAACAACTACCACAGGTTTTTGCAATACACGTCGGCTAGCAACCGTTGCCTCTCCAGCAGTTCCGGTGGTCACCCAGCAAGGACCCTTAATTGCCTGTCCCCAAGCAGAACTCTGAGCCTATTCCGCATACGCCATATAGAGGCTCAATAATAATCAGTATAATTACCAAGAAACTGTGACCGAGGATTCCTCACTGTAACTGTAGGATAAGAACTCTAAACACCCTATTCTAATCATTAAATGCGACATAGTACAGCCCCGAAGTCTTATGTATACCTGCCTTACCGTAAATCGCTAGGTCCTTGGGCTGGAGGTGTATAGGTAGGATTTCGGATCCGAAGCCCTCAATCCTAAACCATACCTGGACCCCACAAAACCTACCGTTGGGTTTGTGTTTTCATTATCCTGGGTTTCGATATAAGTCCTTCGAACAAAAGGTGGAATGTTATGATCGCGGTGAAGGAAGACCTTGAGCTCCAAACCCTGTGATCCACAGAGCCTGAAAGACTAAACCTTACGAGACCATTCCAGGATTCGTAGGCCCTGAAACCCCACAACCTTAAACCTTGATCCCTGAACCGCCCCAACTACCCAACTACCCTGTATTGCAGCCCCGAGAATACCAGAGTCCTCTAAAGAGTACTTGAGGCGGTCCTGGTAGACCCAATTTTCGGATCCCATAGGGCTCCAGTTTCCTAAGTAGTAGCTTCGGGGTCTAGGGGCTACGCATTTTTATATATTATATGCACCAGTATCCCACCATCTACTATAGTCTCCCTAGGATTTTTCATTTTTCTTCACATAAAGCCCAAGAGAATATTAGAAATCGTATTTCTATTATGGTTCTAAGGGGGGGTAGTCTACAGTAGAGGCCAAAAAGTTGGAAACCCAATAGCCTCGACCCTTAAGGGTAATGTATAGGGAACCCCTGCACTATTTGCCCTTAATCCGGTTTCCAACTTTATGGGGTTTACTGTAGGTAACTGGAGCCCTAGGGATCGATCGAGCCTGAAGCCGTGAGCAAAGGCTGGTGCAAGCGCTGAGCAACTGGAGGATGGACTTGGATGCTCTGTTGTGGCTTGGCTCAGTTTTAGGAGGGGTTTAGGGTTCAGGATTAATTGGACTTTGTGGAGTTAGCAGGATGCTTTGATGTGCCTTGGCACGGTTTAATTAGGGTTTAGGCTTTAGGGTTTACGGCTTAGGGTTCGGGGTTTAGGGTTTAGGGGTTAGGGTTTAGGGTTTAGGATTCTTTGGACTTTGTGGAGTTAGCAGGGTGCTCTAATGGATCCTGACAGGGGTTAGCCGGCGGTGAGTTGCGAGATGTTGCGAGCAAGAAGCATCGCGCTGTGTCGGACCAGCCTGCCTTTAACCTTCGTGAAATACTAGAATGCGACAACTATAGGATCATGTCAGAAGAGAACCCTTTGTTTTGTTTGGAAACTGGACAGGTACGTTGTATTGGCAGACGCACGCCCAATGTCTGTAACACCCTAAACCCTCAACCCTAAAGCCCGAACTGACGAAAGCCCTACAAAAGCCCAAAGATCCTCAACCCCCTGTTAGACTCCCAAGCAGTAACCCAGAACACCGACCCGCTATGCTAACCCATGCCGTCCTCAGGTGTCTTCCACAAGAGGAGTTCAAAAGGGTTGCAGTGCCCCGGTCTGCACATGCAGAGGTGTGCGGGTGCTGGGATGTAGGTTTCGGATTGGAGCTTCAGGGTTTAGGGTTTTCGGCGGCTGTCGACGTTTTTTGGATAAGGACTTCATGGTTTCAGGGCTTGGGGTGTGGGTTGTCGCTTCTCGCTGTTCGAGCTTTTGGCCTTGAGGCCGTTAGTACCGCGGCGTCGGTTTCACGTTTGGCCTCATGCCTAGGATGCCCAGTTTTACCCTTATTACCTTGCTGTAGTCCTAGATTCCTTATAAAGTTACCCAGTACCAAAATTTTAAAAGGGAGCCCATTGTATTCCTAGGTTACTGGGCATCCGAGATGCACGTTGGCCTTCGAAGCTTCAGTTTGGGGTCCTCGGTTTGGAGGCATTGAGCCTCGTACTACACCTTTCTGTCTGAATCAGGGATCTACCTGAAACCGATAGCTTTTATCTAACCTTAGGGCTCCAGCTACGTACTAGATAGTATGTTACTATCCATATATAATATACCCCAGTAACCTACTACTCAGGTTTACCCTTATAAAATCAGCGGTGCTTGACCTTAATTATTAGTATTCTGAATTCCTATATGGTATAGGAACCATTGGTTTCGTCTCTATAAGGGATATAACACCTAACTCTTCAGGTACGGCCGGTAAAGGGTGGGTTTACTCTATTCTGTCAGGGCTCTCAGGAAGAATAGCTGGTAACCTGAATCACTTCTGTGTTTTTTCTCGGAGATTCCGTCAGGTTCATTCATCTACACTGCTTGCAAGAGGCTGTCGCAGTATCCGAACTGGACCCAATTATTACCTAAAGTATAATGAAGCGAGACTTGCCACCTCCAGGTCCGACATCAGGGTGCGCATGTGTGCTCTTCTATTTCATCTTATTCCAACTCACCATATTGCAGAGTCCTTGAGCGTAATGCCCTTCGGGAGACCAGCTGAAGGATTTCTTTCGTGGCGTAGAAGTTGGTGTGCTGGACGAAGTGCACTGCCTTCGTCACGAAGAGACGAACGTCAGGACACATCTGCAAGGCTTGTGAGGTTTCTCGCAGGCTGCTCCTGACCGCCACACCCACCAACAACAGCCTCACGGAGCTGGGCAGCTTGCTGTCCTGCGCTGTGCCGCAGGCAGAGACCTGGACGAGATGCGTCAAGTCTTAACAGCCATGGAAGACTGTCACAGTCCAGAAGACCACAATCCCGACGCGGAGTGCAGCTTGGAAGCATTGAAGCTCGAGGCTGAGCATGCGGCGGCAGAGAAGGCGAAGGCTGCCGCTCAGCAAAAGGCGGCAGAGAAAACAAACATGCACGAGGAAGGGGCGAATCGGTTCAGAAGTCAGACTCGCTTTGCTGCGCACCTGCTAAGTCTGCTAAGTGCCAGGCAGAGTACCACTTTTCTCGCATCTTGCGCATTGGCTGCCATAGCTTTTCTTGTCCAAGTACCCTGGACCCAAAACAACCCTAAACCCTGAACCCCAAACCCTAAAGTCTGAACCCTAAGCCCCTAAAGCCTAAACCCCTAAGCCCCAAACCCTCCACCCATCAGGCTAAACCTCATAAAGTTGGAAACCGGATTGAGGCCAACTAGTGCTGGGATTCCCTCTACATTACTCTTAAGGACTGAGGCTGTTGGGTTTCCAAATTTTAGGCTTCTACTGTAAACCTCAAACCCTCCAAACCCAAAGCTCGAATCTTGACCCGCCGGGCCACGTCTTGAGGCTTTGGGGTTTGGGCTTAGGGTTTTGGGTTAGGGGTTTAGGGTTTAGGGTTTGCCTATGGTCTGCATAGTAGTTCCCTTTTTTGGGGTAACCAATGATAACTCAGGACCCGAGAAGGTAACCCCCAAAAGGAACTAACTACAGTGGAGACCTCAGGTGGGCTTATGTTCAGGGCTTTGCGTTTTTGGGTTTGGGGTTTTAGGTTAGGGTTTCTGGTTTAGGATATATAGGACTCAGGGTTTGGAGTTTTGGGTTTGGGGCCTAGGTTTAGGATGGTTTGGGGCGTAGGGTTGGAGTTTGGGAATCGCGGCGTCAAACAGTTTCCAAGGAGCTGCTTTGCGTGAATATGCATGGACTGACGAAGGCTGGTGCGGGCTATCGGCTTGGAGTATAGCAGTAGAGCTCAATATCGTAGCTTACCATGATCGCCGCAACCTAGTTTGGCGTAGGCTCCCGGTTCCATAATACATCGGTGTTCATGCAAGTCTTGCCACACTGGGTTCCAGTAGGTTAGTTAGGGTCGGGTTTCCAAGAACCCCCGAGGGTCCATGTACCCAAATAGCAGATACTTTGGGCCCAATGTACCCATATAGGGAGTGCTTTAAGGCCAATGTATATACTATTTAGGTACATGGACTCTTAGGGTTGATTGTTAGGGTTGATTGAAATTTTTGAGTGAGGGAGTGCTATCGGCCGCTCAGGTTGTCTTTCTGAGCCCATGCTGTAAGTGGGAATTTCCGAATATGGGGGGTACCTTATTTTGGAATGCTTGTAATAATAAGGATCCTGCACTTTAGGGTACTATATTAGGGTCCCCTATTTTCGGAAACTCCCAAGTATTCCTTTGTGTGCCTGGTGTAGGGATTAGGGGCTGTAGTTTTGGGGGTTCCTTTACTGTAAATATAGTATGATGGGCGCCTCTGGGTCGGTGGCCTCCTTCTAAACTTCAAAGCTGTGGAGAGTTGCTTTCCGATGGTAGGCTACAGAGCTCAGAGTATTGCGCACGCGTCTTCCAATGTGTTCACGGTTTCACCAGTCCTATCAACCCTCAACATGTGCAAACCCGTCGCACTAAACCCTGACCCTGATCCTTGCAACTGAAAGCCCCAAACCTCATTACCTAGGATGCCCAGTAGTACCCTTATTCCCTTTTTGTAGTCCTAGGTTCCTTATAAAGTTACCCAGTAGCAAAAAGAGAGGCTTTTTTTCTTAGGTTACTGACTGGGTATCCTAGTTACAGTGAACCCTGCATCCGCGGATTGGGTTGGAACCTCGTAGAAAGCCGCGAAAGATCCTCTCAAACTGCAATAAAGCACTCTGCCACCTTTAAACTCTAAGCCCCGAAAAGTCTCTACTAAAGCTCGGCAGCTTTTCAACATCTCCAACCCCCAAACCCGACCTTAACCCCGAATATGCTGCCTTTTCAAGGTTCCAAACTATGATTTCGTTGTACGGGCCCTTACCCAAAGGGCTCAAAGTACCTATATCTTAGTAGAATGTAGGGTTTCTACTTTGGGGGAGTATCCCCCCACAACAGTACCTAGGCCCTTTAGGTTTTCAAGGTAGGTTGTTCAGGGTCCGGGTCGACCTTCAACAATTCCGAAGCTCATCCCGAGATATGCCCGAACTGTTCAGCTAGAGACCCTAAGCCCTAAGGTCCATGTACTCATGCGTGTAGTATACCTTGGCCTTCAAGTTGTCCGTATTCAAGTACTTTGGGGGCCAACGTATGCACTAGCAGTGTACATGGGCCTCCAATGGATTCCAACCGGCAGGAAGATGTCGTCGAGAAGCTCAAGAAGCGAGTGTGGGCAAATCGCACAAAGCACCTTTGTTGCTGTCATTTGGGGTTTAGGGTCTAGGGTTTAGGGTTTGGGGTTTCTTAAGAACTGGTCTTCCTGGCGGCGTGATATGCGAAGGATGTAGCTAGCTAGTCCGTCTTTCCCTAAATTTAAACCCTTAAACTTAAAACCAAAGCCTTTGAACCCTAAACCCAAAAACGGTCTTTTCCGGAGCCCCTTTTTCGAAGATCATTCTGGGTGGTTAGTGCTTCAAGGGGGCTTCTGTACTAATACTCCCCCAAAAAAAAGTTTCTAGGGCTTGTGGGATTTATAGGATGCATGATGATGCATGGGATTTTTGGGATGTATGAGACTAATGGGCTTTACAGAGTTTAGGGTTTAAGGCATGGGAATTGGACTCGGTAGCCCTGGCTCAGACTCAAGGCAGAAGCTCAGCACGAAAGCTTGGCAGCAAGGGCTTCGTTGTCCTATTGGGCTCGCGATCTTTTTCTTCAAGAAGATGTTCCGAGGCCATACCCAAGGGGTCCATGTGCTCATATAGTTTGTACTTAGGCCCTAAAAGTACCTAAAGAGGATTACATGAATATATACTATGTAGCTACATGGACCCTTACCGGCATACTGACAAAGGATTGCAGGAGCTCACTGCGCGGACTGAGGCTGCCCAACCCGCATGCAAGAGGGCTTGACCCAAGCCGTTCACCATGCTTGAAGGCTCCACGCTAGTTCAATTCACTGTCATACGAGCTTAGAGCGGGATAGCAACTAATTAACCACTAAAGCCTAAACCCTCTTGGCTTTCAGGGCGGGGTAGCAGCCCACAGAGTTTCTGCAGGTGCCGGTTCGAGGCACCTCAGTCTTGAGCCGTTCTTTACATCCTAAAGCCCAAGCCCTTGTTTCAGGATGATTCTTAAATGGGCGGTTTAGGGTTCCGGAGATTTAGAGTTAACGGGGTTGAGGAGGTTTATAATTAGGGCTTCCGGTTTAGGATGTAGGTGCTTAGGGCTTTCAGGTCTCAAGGGCTCAAGGGTTTGAGAGTTTGGGGACAACATGTAGGCGGTCAGACTGACCAGTAATTAAGAACGCGATTTTACTGATCAAGGCCGTTATTTTTGCCGCAGCCCTTTACCCTAAACCGTGCTGGTCCCCATTCTATCCCCAACCCTAAACCCTAAACCGCAGAGTCCTCAGGTTTGCGAAAATCAAAGGCCTCTCGAAGCTCGCCTTCGAGCCCAAATCCCAGGTGTCGATTGCTCATACCGGGTTCTAGAAGGGGTACTATTCCGATTTATGTTTTACGTTTCTCCTTCGGTTGATGGCATATATATATATATATATATCCTGCATTACCCATAACACGGAATATCTGGGAATTATGGTATATTCCTTATTATGGGTCATGTTGGATTTATATCATCAACAGTTTGTGGGCTCCTTGAGGGAAGCGTTTGGAGCTCCTTTTTTTGAGCGACTCCAAATACGGAACCCTTTTAGATCCCTCAAATGGATCCTAATTTTGAACCGTTATAGCTATAGATCTTGTATTGGATGTGAAGGACTCACCAGCTTTTTTCCGCGCTGAGGAGTTCATGGTCTGTCTTAGATCTTCGAAATTCACGAAGGCTGTACCGAAAGACTACTTACCCGTCTTGGGGTTGTCTTATTAAGCTTAGTTATAGATCTCGAACTTGTAACCTGCATACTAAGTCCCCTGGTCCTATCTTCACATGCCCCCATGCTCCTCAAGCCCTGATTGTTCAATCCCGGGAGCCGACAAAGACTGCTTAAAGCAGGGTTCTTGGATGTCTCTCCTGAAGCAATCCAAGCTTCGGATCTTGCGCTTTTGGGATGTGGTTTACATGGACGCCACCGTAAACGATCACGGTTTGGGGCTCAGGGATGATACTACGGTTTGTTGTGCTGCCTGCTTGGATAAGTTCTCCGGCGCATGAGGGCTCAGAAGTTAAGCAGTTGAACCCTTGCTGCCTGATCGCAAGTCCAAGCAAAGGACATTACGAATGCCGAAAATGGCATTCTCAGCTCTCTACCGAAGCTGAGGGTTTAGTTCAGCATGAGGCCGATACTTAAAGAGTTAGTGGGAGAACCTTGCACATTTCTCCTCCGTCTCAAACACCCTATGCCTTAAAGGCGAAATCAACCCTAGAACGGCTCAAAGTTCATATGCTGTACCATATAGGGAAAGGTATGGATTTAGAACAGTAGGGTGCACGGCTGCTACTTTTAAGGGTCTTCGGTCCTCAAGGTGACAGCTGAGTGCTGCATGCGCAAGAAAGTAACCCCGGATCAGACCCGTCCTAGAGAACCCAATATCTGATTTGGTTTTAGACTTTAGGTTTGATCTACGAGCCATAAACTCAAAACCTCGCTTGCATCGGGCTTTTTTCTTAGGCTGCCCGAATGCCCACACTCCAGCGATGCTTACGGCAACACGTGCCTGCTCCTCCAAGTCGGCTGACATCAAGGCTGCTGCGAAGCGCAATGCCCCTGAGCTCGCGATCGGGGGTTAACAGTAGTCGTTTTTTGCCGTGCATTGGGGATTTCTGGTACTTTTAAGGGGTTTAACGTGGACGGCTCTGGGTTTTAGTCCTGGGTTTCTTCTTTTTATGTTTTTTTTTGCCGGAACCGTTTCGTGGGACGCCCGGATTGAGGATCAGTTTCATTGTTTGGGGTTTAGTGTTTCTTACTAATGGCTGGGTTGAGGGATTGGGTGCTTCAGGCCACACCAGGAATCCAAACCCTGCAGATCTTAGAGCAGAACCTCTCCCGAAAGCATGGGTACATCGGTTTAAGGGGTTAGAGCTACCTACCAGAAGCTGACAAGGTTCTCCGACATCAAGGTGGGTTGGTACAGAATGTTACGAATGGGGTTTTGGGTCCGGGCTTGAGGTATCTGTTGGTCTACGGTCCTGCTACAGTTGAGAAAGATCTCGACATCAAGCTCAGGCCACAAAGGTTGAAAGCCTAAACCCTACCTGGACCCTGAATACACGACCTTGTTATAAGTCTAAGGTTTAGGGTTTAGCTCAGGATTGGCAAAGAGCAATTTGGCTGCTGCCGCAGCTGAACCCCTTGGGCGATCAGACTTCTTTCTGTGAGGCGCAGGGGGCAGCATCTGCCGCTAAGTTGTCACTGAGCAGTACAAGTTGATTCTCGGAGGCCTCAAAAGGTGGGATGAAGGTAGGTGGGATATCCTCAAATACTAGGATGCCCAGTAGTGCCCTTATTCCATTTTTGTGGTCCTAGGTTCCTTCTAAAGTTACCCAATACCAAAAAGAGAGGCCTTTTTTTTCTTAGGTTACTGGGTATCCTAGAATAAGAGTCCTTATATAAGGGATCCTGACTCCCACCTACCTTCATCTGACCCTTTGAGGCCCCCGAGATCCTAGACCCGGACCCCGGGATCCCCACAGACACTGCCTGCACTCTATGAGTCCCGACTAAACTCCCAAAACACCTCTCCAAAAAGTGGAATGATACTCTACGAAGTCCCATCCAACTCCGAAACACTTGCAAAACACCTACTTAAATACCTAGATCTTAAAACTAAACCGCCGAGAGAGGCCATCAATGGCTGTGGGAAGGCCCAACAGTGGCCGCAAGCCTTGGCAATTGTGGAAGGTATATATGCCAGCAAGGCGGTATCGTGGGTTCAGGGTTGAGGGTTTAGGGCATTATAGTTTGAAGTTTTCGCAAGGATTACTTATGGGTCCTTTCGAAGGATCCACCAGGGTTCTACAGGGGTTAGGGTTTAGGACTTTGGGCAGAACTCATCAGGGTTGCCTTTAACTGTAAGGGTTCATCTGTTATGTCCTTCATTAGGGCACCTATTTGATTTGTTGGATTTGCCTTTTTGTGTGGAGCTGAGTCTTTCGGTTAAAGGGAACTCCAGAAAGTTGGAATATGGTTTCAGGGTAGGATACCTTATAATTTACCATAAAGGGTTTAGGGTAATCATATTCCAACTTTCTGGCTTTTACTTTAAGGGCTTCGGACTTCGGTCTCGACTGAGACTCTTCGGTGTCGACTGTGGGGTTTAGGGTTTTCCCTTGAGGTTTGCTTGGACATACCCAAAGGCTCCATGTACCCTAATATAGTAGGTACCTATAGGCCTTAAAGTACCTAGGGACGCCTTCAAGGCCGGAGTTTTAGGGTTATAGGGCTCGGGAGGTGCGCTGGTATCATGCAGGGCAGCTCGGCTTCCCAGATTCGTTCCAAATACCGGTGTTTTCGCTGAGTGTCCCTTAATAGAAGACACTTTTGACTTAACACGGGTTTCCAGAAGGGTATTCGTTCGAGAGTCCAAGTGTGTACTAACAATATGAGTACATGGACCCTTGGGCACTTTGGCGGGTTTAGCAGAGCAGTATCTAGGACCGTACAGTAATCAGGCCCCTATACCATAAACATGTAAAGGAACCCTTAGATGAACCCCTATAGAACCCTTAATTAAGGGAACCCGTGGGGCTTGGCAGGCAGAGCCCAGCATCTACTGCTTCAGTGCTGCGATCAGCGCATGCGCCAAAGGAGGGCAGTGGGAGCTGGCCATTGGCGTGCTGTCGAAAATGCAGACAGCGAGGATTCCCCCAAAACCCCCTGTGTTAGGATTTAGGTTTATGGTATAGGTTTGTATAGGATCTAGGGTTTAGGGTCCGAACCCTGTTTAGGTTTAGGGCTTAGGTTTGGGTTTTAGGGTTTAGGGTCCGGAACCCCTTGCTTTGGGCTTGTAAAGAACCCGTTGCAAAATAGGCCGTGTGCTACGGATGGTTCGATCTAGTGCAGAACTATTCCTCTCATTAGGCTCTTCGGCTTTGCAGGCGTCGCTCTTATGACAGTCTTCGGTTGTGAAAGGATCGTGGGAACGATTTACCATGAGCCGTGCTGAAAGCCCAAACCCTAAACCCCCTAAACCCCCTAAACCCTCTAAACCCTCTAAGCCCTCTAAACCCCAAACCCTAAGCCCTCTAGGACGCCACCGAATGCCTTTAGCTACAGTGCCGCCATCACTGCCTGCGAAACGAGCGGGCAGTGGCAGCACGCTGTCGACACTCGGAGAGTATGTCAGACGGTGTTTATGGTTTAGGGGTGCTAGGGTTTAAGGTTCAGGGGTTGGGGTTCAGGGGTTTAGGGTTTAGGGGTTTAGGGTTTAGGTTTCAAGATTTGGGGGTTCTGGGCTAGTTTAGGGAGTTTCTGCAAATTTGGGGTACCTTCTTCTGGGGTCCCCTATAATAAGGATCCTACCATTTAGGGTACTATTTTTGGGCCCCTATTTTCGGAAACTACCATATATCAGACGGTAAGTCCTTCTTCGGGATCATGGGTTAGGGCTCCAAGTCGCAACTTTTTTTTGTTTGGCGGAATCCCCAGAGGGTCCAAGTACCCAAATAGTAGGGTTTTAGGTCCCAAAATCCATACTCTGAGTGGTTTTTGGACCTTGAAACCCTACTATTTGGGTACCTGGACCCTTAGGGATCCAGACACATCACACAAGGGATATCGCTTGGTTGGTCTTGCGAAATGTCTTATCCAGTAACTGGGAAACACAAGTTCGTGTTGTGTGTGGCCGACATCGCCCAAGGTTTCGCAGTATCAGCATACAGCCTTCAGGAGAACAATCCCAAACTCTAAACCCTAAACCCCTAAACCCTAAACCGATTTAACCGAGGCAGATTAGACTATTTCGATTTGTCAACCTACACTCGGGAAGTCCCCAGCACCAATCAAGCTACAATGTTCTCCCTTAAAGGGTCCTGGGTACTGTTTTGAAGGATACTTCCTACGAGACCTACGCTTTTAGGGCTCTTTGCTCTAATTTCCTTTCACCAGTCCTTGCAAACACCCAAAGGGTCCAAGTATCATTATGGTATACTTATAGGGTATTTTGGGGGTCTAAGTATATACCATAATGGTACTTGGACCCTTTGGGACATAGGTTGTATAACCCCAAAGGGTCCTAAGTAGCTGTATGGTAGAATGTAGGGTTTCTATATTAGGAACTACTATTATGATCCAGGGAAGTATCCCCCATAACAGTACATAGGACCAGGCGAAGCGTTTTATATAGAAGTTGGAATCCCTGGCAGAAAGCTACTGAGGGCCTGCTTGCAGACATGGCCGTGGCCAGAGTTCCATACAACGATGTGAGTATCAACGCAGTCCTCAGCGCCTGCAAGTCAGGTGCGAGTTTAGGCATAAGCGCTTACTATAGTATCCTTAGGAATTATT